CTACGGTCAGTGTGCGGGTGGGTGACCACTTGGATCAGTCTGCGTAGGGGACGATTGAAATGGATATTGGTCCTCGTTAAACTGTGCTACCGTAAAGTGCTCGACTTCGCGCGCAGGTCGTCGGGCTACCGAAGCGGTGGTGCCATCCCCTCCGCTGAGGATCAAAATTGTGATGGCATGTCTTCGGATCATCCTCCGGGATGTTTCCCAGACCGTCGCCAATAGCCCATTGTGCAGCTCTAGTGCGACGTAAATTAACAACAATCACAAAAGTCTTGACATTAAATTTTGTAATTTTAATGTGAGTTTGAACGAATTTAACTTTCTTACTTTAACAAACATTCATCGTCTCAAAGTTGCGCGTGTTTTCTATTATCATTAAAAATCACTGATTTATATTTATCTAACTTCAGGGATAATTGAAAAATTTTAAGCTTATTATTGACTTATAAACCTATCTATTGCCCCAAACATGACCGACGATTTTAAGAATAAAAAAATAGATGCGTGGTTTGCTGCATTCTGCTAAGGAAACGAATTAATTTTTTATCCTCTACATTAAAAATTAGTTACGAAATTTACTCACTGATAGCGCTACTAGCCGAGTGAATTATAAAACAATGTTTATCCAACATTTGCAACAACAACGTGGAGCAAGTTATTTACTGTTTGCAAATATTTCGGTTGAAGTGGAATGCCATATAGCAAAAAACATTCTTTTATGTTTTTTCTCATTTATCAGTTCTCATCAATGCCGTTTATTAACAGACATAGATTTCCAAGCCAGAGGCTGAATTATATCACTGAGTGGAATAAATCCATAATTGTTGTTTGCCTCATTCCTATTGGACGATTTATATTCCAATCCCAATAGTAATCCTATTGGTTGATGTCTGCAACTTATTGAATTTCCAGTAGAGAGGTTAGTGATGTGACATCAGCTTAGACATCTCTATTGCAATCAATTTTTAAATTTGGAAAAAATGACTCCATTTCCTTGGCAGAAGGCAGCAAACTGTATATTTCTATCTCCATTTTTTTTTTAAATTTATTTTTCAAATCGTCAATCCTTTTATAGCATTCAGTATTTTAATCTAAGGAGATAGTCTTGACTTATCAACTGCAATTAATGGCAATATAATTTAATATATCCCTTTACTATAACGACTGTTGCTTTTTTCAAACAGTTTTCAACGGTTCAACATTTTTTTCAAACTGTGGCAACAGTTACTATAAATGAGTCTTTGTTTGGTAATGTATGAAGAAATTTTTTTGACTTCAAAAACAAAAAAGGGAGAAAAATTTAAAGTTTGAAAATTTTCTGGAAAGTGGAAAATTTAAAAAAAAGAAGAAAAAAAAATCCATTCACCAAAAAAAAGGGAATAAATAAATAAAATGAAGTTTTAATTTTTAAAAAAATAATAATTTAAGCCAGCTGGTATTTTATGTAAAATTATATTTGATTTATTAAATTTTGTTAAAGAAAATCAGAATTTATATATTAGAATAATAATATATTATATAAAGAAAGAATAATAGAATTTATTAAAAAAAGAATAATAGAATTTTTAAAAAAAAACGAATAATAGAATTCATAAAAAAGAAGAAAACCAAAATATATTTTTTTTAAAAAAGTTTTATTTGTAAAAAGTTTTTAAAACGAATCTGTCAAAGAATAAACAAAGGACTAGAAAACGAAATTGAAAAAAAAAGAAGATAATTTTGAAAGCATTACGGAGTGATTTTTCTGTTTTCTATGTTAACTGAAATTTAAGGCTAATTTTTAGCGTTTTAAAAAAAGTTTTTAAAGTTATTTATTTTTATTCTTCCAGGTTAAAAAGGCATTCTTTGCTTTAGTTCACAATGGTAATGTATCACATTCTTTTTTTTTTCTTTTACAATATTTTAATAATTATAAACATTGTATTTTTGTTGATGATGCTGCTCACTGAATTCAAACATCCTAAAAATCTTTTGATCTAATTAAATATTTTAAAAAAAATTTATAATCTTCTTTAAAAATTTATTATTTTTCTTTGAGAAATACTTGATCGATTCTTTTCCAATTTCTTTTAAATTCCCCCATATTTTAAAGATCAAAAATCAGAATCAATCTAAAAAATATATGTTTATTTGTTTTTATGTATGCATAATTAATTTAAAATATTACATGTTACTCAATGTTTTTAAGGTAAATCCCTTTAAGCTTGAGATTGTATCTTAATAAGTGAAAATCAGACTATTTGATCAAAAATTGTGCAGTTTTTTTTTTTTTTTTACTTGTACGAATTTTAATTTATATACTACGAAAACGTTACTCATATTTGTTCTGTTAAAATTCATCGTAAATTTTTTTCTTTTCCTCGTAGGAGTTCGAGCAGCACCTCTATGGGACTCGGCTTCACAATCTTTTGTTGGTATGTTTATAATATTTCTAATATTCTAATCATTGTATGCAAAAAGATAGTTTAACATGGTGTTCCGTAACCACAATCTTTAATGTTTATTTTCTGAATGTCATCATTTTTGATAAGTGTTCAAAAAATACTTATAATAAAGGTAGTGATTCGAAACACCCTTATATGCAGAGTGTGGCGAAAAGACCTGAACAAACAATTTTTTTTATATAACTTTATTAAAAATAAATAAACAAAACATAACTCATAATATGAGTATGCTTTTATTAATAAATATTTATTCCAAAATGGCTGCCCTTTGCAGTGATGCAAATTCTTATTGCAATTCTTCTATTGCAATTCTTCTATTGTTAATCTATTCCATCCTCACTAAAGCTGTTGCTTTAGAGAGTCCAAACTTATGTATAAAAAAATAGCAAATGTCTTACTTGACTATAGTCACGAAAACAATATATATATTATAAAGAGATATATTATAATAATTTAAATGGTCAACAAAAATAAAGGAACTCGCAAATTAGAAAGAAATTAAATAACTTCTATTCTATGATGCAATAATTTTTTTTTGTTGCTGTGCTCTGCAGAAGAAGACTATCTGCAAAAAATATATCGTGATATATAATTAAAATTCTGCCTTCAATTAACTATTCCTAATAAAAGAAAATTATTCTTTATAGAATATTTTTAAAATAATGTATTCAACTTCACAATAGAACTTCACAACACTCACAATAGAAATAATTAAGCTCTTTAGCGTGAAACAAATGATTTTTCATTTGTAATAAACTCATTTTCACAATAGTTTTTGAAAAGCGTGTTGAATACTTTTTTTTCTCATCTGTAAAACTATTATCACAGCATTATTTTTAATGTATTAAAAATACATAAGAATAAATTTTACTTTTGATAAATTATTTTCAGTGCTTTAATATTTCAGATTATAAGAGAGATTAATTTTTTTTTAACTTTCTGGTAAAATATATACGAATTAAATTTAAATCATTTGTTGAACTGTTTTCACAGCTTCGTTAGTTAATGAGCATTACTTATATTTCTTATCTGTAAAACTGTTACAACTGCATCCATTTCTAAAGTGTTAAAAAACCTAAATGATTGAAAATTATATTTTTTACTTGTAAAACACATTTTACTGCTTTAGTAGGTTATGAGCTGGAAAAATATGTATGAATAAATTTTAAATTTTTCACTTGTAAAACTGTTTTTCCATAGTCTATGAGCAGGAAAAACTTTTATATCACATTTATAAAACTGTTTCTACTGCATGTAATTTTAATTTGTTAAAAAATATATATGAATGAAAATTAAAATTTTTAATTTGTAAAACAGTTTACAGTTTAAGTAGTTTATGAAAGGTAAAATTCATATGAATACTTTAATTTCTCATGTGTGAAACCGCTTCAACCACATGGATTCCTAACATACTAAAGAAAAATTATGAATAAAATATACATTTGTAAAATTATTTTTACACCTTTAGTACTTTATAAACAAGTAAAAACAAAGAAACCTTATAAACAAAGAAAATACCAGCAAATTTTAAATTTTCAGTAGTAAAACTGTTTTTACTGCTTTAGTAATCTATGAGTAGTGAAAATGCGTATAATTTTTTTTATTTCTCGTCTGTTAAACAGTTTTTACTGCCTGCATTGCTAATGTACTGGAAAATATATATATGAATGAAATATATATATAGATAATTTAAAGTGAAAAATATGATATATATATTTTTATGAAAATAATATATGTTATTTTTAAAACTATTTTTGCTTCTTAGTAGTTTATGAGCAGGTTAAACACTTATGAATATTTCTATTTTTACCGTTAAATTAAATGTTAATTTATTTCATTTCTTCCTATAGTTGAAATTGCTTTTTAACTTACTTTGCCTCTTTATTTATAGGAATGCTGACAATTACAGATTTTATCAATATTTTAAGGACATACTACAAATCACCATTTGTAAGTATAACTTACAATGTTTGCTTTTTGGAAAATAGTTTATAATAAATGGATAAAAAGTTGACTGTGAAATTCGATAGTTGGGTTTTAAAGTACTTATCTGGAGTTGGAACTAAGTTTCCAAAAAATGTTCCCAAAATAAAAAAGAATTCATAACTCAAAGAATTATTTCAGCATTTGCAATTTTTGAGAATAAAGAAAATGGGCCACAATGCACATTGTAATAACTTTCCATAGAATTATATTTGTTTTGAGCAGTTTTTACATGATACATTTTTATCTATTTCCATAAATTTTTACTTTTGCTGGGCCGGGAGAGCTTGGTTGGCAAGACACTGGACCCAAATTCGTGATACTAGAAGTTTGAATCCAGCCGGCGGAAGTCTCCCCATGTAGTAAATGGTGGCTGATGCATGTTAAAACTGTCGGGTCACAAAGTCCTCCATGTTCCCTTTACAAATTATTCCTCTGGGGGTATTGGATTGGAGATCAATCGATCTCTGGTTCAGGTGTAAATTACGATCTATGGATGGATTTATGAATGAGTCCACTCCATAAACGGGTGTGGCATAAGCCGAATTCTTCCCCATAGATGGCACTTCTGGACAAGAAAATAAGAACAAGCGCCTATGACAACATAACTTTTGCTAAAAAAATAATTGAAGATTAGTTATATATAAACATTTAAAATAAGTGATTTCATTAAAAACATATTTAGCACTGAAAATCTTGTAATCCTCGTCACAGAATTTTACAGAGTTCTTGTAGGAAGTTTTTTTTTGAGAAGTAAAAAATTTTGTTTTTCTTTTCTGCAGAAATTTACTTATAAAATTTGAATCACTTTTTGACATGCTCAATTTACGCCAATAGTTTCGTAAATCCATGTAATGTTTTGATTGTATTTTCAGCAGTTATTGATATTGATTTTCAAGTGGTTTTTAAATTTCACAATATATTTCAGACAATATGGGAAATTGGAATCGTGTATTTGAGTATTTACTTTTTAAAGGCAATGATTTTGTTGATTTTTTGTAGTTATTGCTATTAATTCTCCATAGTTTTTGAAATCCAATACTTTTAATGCGATGTTATTTATTGCAACAACCTACTCTTAAAAACGAAACAATCATTTTCAATTCAGTCCGATTATTCGAGGGATTTCTTCGTCAATCTTTTTTCTTTTTTTCGATAATTGCTATTACATGTTTTTAATTATTTTTTTTAATTTGAAAATTATTTGCAAAATGTGAGAATATCACCCATAATATTAGAAAAAAAATATTACATGTTCAATTAAAAAAATATCTATACAGTTTTTTTCTTTGCTAAACACAGCCCTTTTGTTATTTTAAATTAACAACATATCTGTTTGTTATTATTAAAAGTATCTTGCAGAAAGATATTAGTACTAGAGAGTTTTGTTGCAGAAAGCTCGAAAAAATTCAGCCACAGGCTAGTAATTATTATAAAAATAAACCTCAACTCTGAAATTAATGCATTGTGTAGGCCAGTGTTTCCCAAACTTATGACTTCTGTGTACCCTTTCTAAATTTTTCGTAGCACTGTGTACCACTAATTTAAAAATGAATGTATTTTTTACTACAAAAAAAATTGCCCAAAAGTTAAAAATCAGAATTGGCTGTGGACACCACTAATTATTAACTGTTAACTCTGCAAAAAATAGCCAATGGAAAAATACGTAATCGTAAATTTTTATGGCTAGCTTTGTTTTTAAATAAAATTTTTTGAAATTTTCGTTTGTTTTAAGATATTTTGCATAAGAACACGTACCCCCGCTAAACTGTTCCCGTACCACACTTTGGGAAACACTGGTGTAGACCGCTAAGTAATAATTTTATTTAAGCTACGCATTAGGCTATTTATTTTTTCACGAAATATATATACTCAAATTCGTGCATTTCTAAAGTAAAAAAAACCATTTACTTACATGTAAACTGTTCTCAAATAATATCACATCTAATAAATCAAAATAGTTTTTTGAAAGTGATCTTATCAAATTCCTAGCTATTTTATTTAAAGAAAAAATAGAAAAGAAAATCTGTTTTTCCTCTCCTCAATTTTGATATTGAAATAAAGTAATTAAGATTGCATAGAGACTACCCCCTATGTGCCTCTCTCTTATCTGATTTATTTAACTTGTAACTTTAACGCTAATATAGAAATTTTGCAGACTTGCGATAATCACTTTTTGTCAGATCAGCTTTCTTTTTTAATCTATCAAGATTTAATTGAAAATATTAAAATTTGAAATGTTGAGCTAATACCAAATAAATGTTGAGCTTAAATACCAAATGTTGATATATTGAGCTTAAATATCAAATATTTTTTTATATTTGAATTTAAGACTGTGAAGCCAATTCCTGGTCTTACATTAAAAAAATTTGTAACTATGGGACTAAACATATTTAAATAATTTTAATATTATTCATATATAATATTTTTTCAAGTTTTTTTTGTTTGAAATTCTTTATAGGTTCAAATGGAAGAACTTGAAGAGCATAAGCTGGAAACTTGGCGAAGTAAATCATTTGCTTTTATTTTTAAACAGATTTAAAAAAAATTATTTTTTTTTATTTGTTTGTTAATCTTTTTTTGTCTTTGTTTTGTTTAGGTGTTTTAAAGGAAAAAAGTAAACCTTTAGTTAGCATAGGCCCTGATGCCAGGTGACTACATTTAAATGTTTACTTTTATGTTAAATATTTTAAGGAATGTTATAGTTATGTAAAAACCAAGTTATATTTATCTATTTTTTTCATTTCATTTTACAATGTTATATACGAAATTACTTATAAAACAGTTCATTTTAAATGTAATTAAGTGTATTAAATGTTTTGAATATATTTTTTCAGTAAACTAAGCAGTATTTTATTTTCACTGTTTTCTTCCAAATTTATTTTTTGTTTTCAACTCGATTCTATGAATCAGTTACTAAATAATATTAAATTAGTGTTAATGCTTTAAATTACTTTGATATTGCAGTATTGTAGCACTATTACTGAAAATGGTCAAATTTATAAATTAACTTTTTAAACTATTATTATTAATTAACTATTTTCAATAATTCTGATAATTTTAATCTAGTTTACTGAAGTAATTAGATTTGAATTCAGAAAGTTAAATTTAAAATATCTTAATTTGAAAATTCTAAAGATTTGAAAGTAATAAACTTTTTTGTTTCTTATATTAATATAATGATGTGTGTATATATAAATATATACAAAAACACACATACATAATATATACATACATACAAGGGTCTATTAGTTCTGAGCTTGACATGGTCAGCTGCCAATATGTATTCTGTAGAACCTTTGGGTTCCGTGAAAGGGAGACAGGTTAAGAGAGTTAATACTTGTTTGCAAAATGCAAAACACAAATATTCAAAAACCTGTGATGAAAACACAACAGAAATGACAATTCTGTAAATTTACAGGATTTATCGAGCTGGAAAATGGCACACCATTACAGAAAATCTAATTGAACTATGTTTGACCGACATAATTGGTGGCGTACCTTGAAAGTTGTTTCGAGATTGTTAAATGAAAACTCAACATTTGTTTATGAACCCCTGGACAAAATTGATTGCAGCCCCCTTCCTCAGAAGAAAAATATTTTTTTATTTTTAGTAGAATTTTTGAAGAACCTCCATTCAAAATAGAAGGTTTTATGTTTTGTCATATTTTAGAAAATTCTCTGCAATTTTCTTTTAAAAATTGAGGTATGTTCACTTTTTTTGTAAAGAATTTTGACTAGGCCCTCAGCATTCCCAGAGTTAAGCAACCAATTACTAGTCCTGCAACTCGTGATGAACTAACTCCACATTGATGGCATGTAAAACTGACTTTTTTGCTGCGAGTTTAGGTTCTGTGAAAAGAAAATTTATCAGTTGAGGTACCTTGCACAAAAAAAATAAATAAATTGGGAACCACTGTCCTGTATATTACTATTATTTAACGTAAAGCAAAAATATTGCTTGCACAACTTTTCCATAACATTCAGGCTCCTATAAAATAATTCTGGCTTTTAAAAATTTCACATTTATATAGATTCTTATACAATGTATACATAAATAACTAGAATAAATTTAAAAATGGATATCTAATGAATAATTTATAAATGAATAATGTAAATGTAAAAATGAATATCTTTATACAGATTTGAATATGGATATTTTCAAACGATAACAGATATTAAAAATCATTTGTAGTTCTGTGATCTGCTACAGTATTTTAAATATGTTTATTTTCAGCTTATTAGATGCCATAAAAGCTCTTATACAGAACAAAGTTCACCGTTTGCCTGTGATAGACCCTGTTACTGATAACGTCCTCTATGTGATTACTCACAAAAGGATTCTCAAGTTCCTTTTTCTTTATGTAAGAATGTTTTTTTCTCTCTATGAAACTTTAGATAAATTTTATGCATTCTAAAAGTTATTCTTTATTTATGAGAGTTTTCTTTTTCTCTGAAACTTTATGTTAAATGTATACATTCTCAGGTTTCTTATTTATGAAAGAATTTTTTCCCCTGAATTTTCGTATTAAATGTATACATTCTCAAGTTGCTAATTTATAGAAAAAAAATTCTCTCTGAAGTTTTGTATTAATTGTATGCATTCTCAAGTTCCTAATTTATAAAAGATTTTTTCTCTCAATATATGAAACTTTATATAATTGTATGCATAAGTTATTCTTAATTTACGAGTTTTTTCTCTCTAAATTTTTGTATTAAATGTATACATTCTCATGTTGCTTACTTATGAAACAAAAATTCTGAGTTTTTGAATTAATTGTATGCATTCTCAAGTTCCTTATTTATGCAAGAATTGTTTGTCTCTTAAACTTTTTGATTACCAATGTTCCTCTAAGCAGTTTCATTATTAGCATTTGTAAGTTGAATTTTTTGCATTAGGTAGTACGATACTGTGGTAGCATTTACAAATGCATGTTTACTGCTTTGTTTAACTAAGCGATGAAAGCATTTTGTGTTGTATAAATAAGTTTACTGACTTCCCAATAAAGGAACACTTACGAATAAATATATTCTAAAGTAACTGAAATAGTTTTCAAATATTGATAATCTTTTGCAATTAGCATATTTTCAGGCAATTTTTATTTCATAAAGCATTTGATGTTTTTGATATTTATTTATATTTGACAAAATAACACAAATTGATATTTTTAAATTGGCAGTTTGTGTTAAATGATATGCATTTGATGTCTTAGAATAGCCTGGTTGTACTATATTACAATATGTATTGGTTCCATTTCAGTACCATGAACTGCCTCATCCTAGCTACATGAATAAAACATTAGGAGAATTAAAAATTGGGACCTATGACGAAGTGGCTTCTGTAAGTAACCTTCAAGTTGCTTGTTACTGACAATATTAACCACTCTTTTAATTCCATCCTATATCTCAATGTCAATACCGATTATCCAATTAACAATTCAGTTTTTTTGGAAGCCTTCTTAATTATAATTCTAGAACTGAATCTATATGACTCCTATAAAAGTGAATCCTAAGTTTAAAAAAATTCTATTAATAATAATTTTTTATTAATTTAATAATAATTTTAATAATTAATTAATAAAATTTTTTTATTAATTGGTTAGATAAAACGTTAATAAAATTTCTTTTGTAGTTTAAAAGCATATTATTTTATTCTTGGGTACTGCTTTAACAAGGCTTGCAATTTATTTTCACGGTGATTAAAACTACTAATTTTAGTCATTTGATTTAAGACCTTAACAACCTCAACAAAATACTCTTTTTCTTTGGTTTTAATCAACCTAAATGGTAATTTTCCAATTTCTTTTTCCCAGCACATCCTTTAAAAATCTACTCAATTAGTTTTTAAGTGTTGATATTAGTATACTAATCATAATTTTGATTTGCTCTTTCAAACAAGTTATGGATATGAATATATTATTAACAGGTAAAGACGAGTACACCTGTCATCACTGCTCTTAACGATTTCATCAACAGAAGAGTATCAGCTTTACCTGTTGTAGACGAGAGTGGTAAAGTAGTTGACATCTATGCCAAATTCGATGTCATCGTAAGTAAAAATTTTATTTTTTAACCCCTTAACGACCGGTTAATTTTCAAGAAAACGGTCATAAAAGTGCCTATTTTGCCAAATACTAGTGTTTGATTAGTGCTGACATTTAGTTTAAAATAAACTAACTATCTACAATTACCTTAAAAATATCCCGATACTGCCACCTGGTGTGTAAAATGTGAAATAAAATGTTTTCCGGGCAAAAGAAATGAATTAGTTTTATTCTTATTGGCGCATTACTTGTGAACACTCCAGCCCGGAAATATCATGGGAGTGAGAAATAGAGGGCGAAACCTCACCCCGGCATTTTCACGGGAGCGAGAAATAAAAGTTTTTTTTTAACTTAGGATTAATTTTGTTTAAGATAAAAATTTTAAAATATCTTAAAACTTGTATATTCAAAGTGTATTTGTATCCTGAGTGGGGTTAAAATGAAATAGACGGTCACCCGAGATTTGTAGCTCTGGATCTGAATTAAACTTGTAACATGTTTTATAGATTGTGCAACAGAGGTTTGGATTGAAATTTCGCTAATGTAACAAAGTAAAAATAAAGATTAGAATTTGAAGATCAAAGAATAATCGAGTATTTTAATTATCATACCTAAGTGTTGTTTGTTGATTTTACCAACAAGCTAGTTTTACCTGTTAGCCAATTATGTAGCATAACTATTAGTGTAGTGTAATCTAACAGAAAAGTGTAAAATTAATTTGTTTCTGTCAAAATCTTAGTGTGCTTACTGTTTTATAAGATTTTGCATGTATAAGCCTCAAGAAATAGCCAAAAACTTGCACTAAATTTTAAATGAGTGCACAGATATATCATTACTGCCAATTATATGATAGTTAATTTCGTTATATCTCGCATAAAGAAACTGCATAATTAACAAAGTATGCAAAAGAAAGATTTATTATTAAATCTGGAAATTAACAATGAATCTCTGTGTCAGTTCATGTAGATTTCAAGTGCTTTATGATCTCGCCCTCTAAACCTGAAACTTTTTAAAATAAAATATATTATTTTGTCATCACAAATTTCAAGACTAATGTAATATAATTATTATTGTAGTTTTTTTAATATTGTTTTTTTCATATTTCCAATCAATTTATTTACGAAATAATTTACCTTTAATATGTTTTTTTAAAAAAAAATTTTTTTTTCAGAACTTAGCTGCAGAGAAAACTTACAACAACCTTGATATTACTGTGAAAAAAGCTCTCGAACACAGAGATCAAGTAAATATTTTAATATGTTTATCGAGAGTAAATTAGTCTCTACTAAAGATCTTTTTTATCATTAATAAAATATGGTGAAATAATGATAGTAAAATACTGGTCATTGGCGAAAATGGCTTATAATATTAGTTACACTTAAAGCCAGTTAGTCCCCTTTTACAAACTCATCGCAATGTGCCTCACCAGCATTGCTTTTAATCTGTAGTATTATGTATTTTAAGTGTAAATAGAGAAGTAAAAATTATGCACTGACTCTCCTCCTATAGGCTTATGACATATATTTTTAGCACAAGCTTTCTTTAAAAACTCATTCCGCAGCGGACTGATCATAAAGACATGGTTTCCTATAGAACACCGAAGTCAAGCATGGATGCGGTCAGTAAGCAGGTGGGTGACCACTTTGATCAGCCTGGCTGGAGACTGAGGGTGTGTGATATCGGTCCTCGTACGGGAACCATCCTCTCTAAAGAGGATATTAGGCCTATTGGGGCATTCTAACTTGCCTATTAGGGGCATTCTAATATGAATCACATATTTTTATTAAGTTCTTTCACAAACTCACTTTGTGGCACCACTGTAAATTTATATTTTTAAAAGTTCATGATAATGTTGAATCCTCTGAAATGTTTTTAATTAAAACCCTGCTAATACAAACTAAATGTTTAAAACTATCTCTTTGTTTTGCTAAAACTTTTAAGAGTAACAGTCATTCCTTTCTTGAATACTGAAGTATCTCATTTTAACAATAAATTCTTTTAAAAGATCTGTGTAATAATTCTTACTTTTGTCTGATTTAGCTTAAATTATTTATGATGTACTAATTGTAATAATATTAATTGTATATTAAATTATGTAATTAGAATTTGTCTTTCCTTCGATTTAGAAAATATTTTGCACAAACTTTTTAAAATTTATTTTTGTCATATTTATTATTATTAGATTATAATTTCTGTCTTAAAATTAAACAACTGTTTAGTAAAAAGTTAAAATCTTTTTGCTTCTATTAAACTTATGACTAATTTAATATTCAAAAAATCACATACATGTATTGACTTTAAAGATTTTATATTTAATTATTTTTGCTAGTGTGCGTGTATGTCTTAAAATGAAACAGAACTTTAGTAAAAAGTTAAAGTATGTTTTCTTTTATGCTTCTATTTAACTTGTGTATAAAACTAATATTCGAAATATCACATATATGTATTGATTTTAAACATTTTCTACTTGTCAAATTACTGATAAATTGCTAGTCAAATAATCTGTTAATAAAAGATTTTTCTTCTCTTTAGTACTTTGAAGGGGTCTTAAAGTGTACTTTAAATGAAACATTCTCAGCTGTACTCAGTAGAATAGTAAAAGCAGAGGTAATGATCTATTACTCATTTAGTTTATCTGTAAAATTAGTTTCATAATAATTGAGTTTAAAAAATATCTGATTCTTTTTCAGGTGCATCGCCTGGTGGTGGTGAACAATGAAGATCATGCCATAGGCGTTATTTCTTTGTCTGACATTTTATCTTACCTTGTCTTACGCCATACAGGTTCGTTTTTGACCAACTAGTCGTTTTAACATAAACATTTGATATTCATTCTATAATTAGTTTCAAGGAATAAAAGCAGTTTAGAGCAAACTTAAATAGGAATGAGTCTTGAAAATTCATTTTAATTAAAATCTTGATCCTGGTTGAAAATCATGGATAGGGTACAAAGGAGGCACCAGATCTGTACCTATGGAAAAATATACCCCATTAAAGTTTATTTAAACTAACAAAAACTTCTTAGCTTATGTGTATTTGCGGTGAAATGCCAGGTTCAGAGTTCAAATCCCAAATGTTATGATTGGATTTTATTTCTAATTTTCTTTTTTTTTTAAAGTTGATAACTATTTAATATGTTTTATTCAATTTATAAATTATTTTTTAATTTAAATAAATTTTTTAAAAGCATACAAAAAAATTAATCTGAACTCTTTCAGGTCAGGGAAAACAGGGAATTTTATTTTGTCTTTTAAAAGCAGGGAAAATTGTATTTCTTTTACAATAACTGAGAAAATTCTTACATCATACCTGGAAAATAACCGGTCTTAGAATTTTCAATAGCAGTGTCAGTTATTAAGATTTGATTTAAATAATTCTAACATTTATTATTATTATTTGTTCTAAAAATTCCACATTTTAGTGAAACTTTTCCATCCTCATTCAACGTTAATTTTTTTTCTCACAAAATGTAATATTTGACATTACATGTAATTATTTACGTAATAAAAAAAAAATCTAAATTTTCTAATAAAAAATTACATGGTATACATAAAATATGGCCTGGACGATTTACATTAAATTTTCTTAAAAAATTTAATTTGAATTGAAAATAATAAACAGTTATCAAATTTTTGTTAAAGAAAATTAGAGATAAAATTCAATCAACTCAGCTGGGATTTGAACCTTGAACCTTTCAGGCAAAAAGCAGACAGCCTAACCATTACACATGAATAAACACAAGCTGGGAAGTTTTTGTTAGTTTAAAAGTTGGAATTTTAATGAGGCATATTTTTACCTTAAGGCAAATCTGGCCGCTTATTTGTACCCTATCCAGATTTTTAAACTTAAACTCTTTATGTACTTACAAGGGTAGTACACAATAATTATGTTTAAAAAAATATCAGAAACTTCATTTGGTATAAATTTCAATTTTATAAAATTTTTGGCTATTAGTTCTATCTATCAAAGTTTATAAAAGTATATAGTCTAAAAATTTTTTTTAATTAGTTTATTTTTAAGCAAATTTGACATAGGGAACAAATGTGTATTAGATTGTATCCATCACTCCATCCATTTCACTCAACTGCTAGTTTTGTGCTAAATTATTCAAAAATATATATTTAGTGTAGCTATGAATTTATTTTAATCAACATTTAAAGTTATGTATTCTGGTTGTCACAAATTAAGGAAAAATAACAAAAAAAGTTACACCAATAATTTAATGAAACTGGCACAGATTATAGTGCTCATGATAACATAAGTATTTAACTAGACAACTAGGGTGTTACAGAAATTAGTATATGAATAATAAATCAAACGTGGCAGTTGGAAATAGAAAAAAGTACCTTCAGTATGGTGCATGATCACCTCTAGCAGCAATACAGTGATATGTGATGTGGTCTACCAGGACCAATGGCAGTATGAGCCTTTGTTCTTGAAAAGCAGGTGCAAAGCTTTGAGGCGCATCCCAAACATGTTCGATAGGATTCAAGTTCGGTGTTGGTCCCTCCATCTGTTGTATTGTTTGCTGCTGAAGATAATCATCCACAGTGTGAGCCCTTTACAACATTGCGTTACCATCCTGTTGCACAAAATTGTCATGATATTGCAGCAGCATAAGGAGGCACATAAAAACCAAGGATGCCATTTCTATACATGTGAGCATTCACAGTTCTATGTGGAAAGACAAAGGTTCACAATCAGAAAAAGAAATGGTCCTGAGATAAAAACATTCAGCTGTTTCATGTTTAGTGGTTCCTCATACCTTTAAAATAAACAAAACCTTGTTTCAGTAGTTTGATATACATAAAATAGTAAAAGTAGAAGTAATAACAATCCACTTGGCATTCAAAACGATAATTATTTAATCGCCACCATGGAACCAGTTGATATCAGAGCTTAAATGGCACATAGTGCAATCGAACTTAAATGTTATTGCACAGTTTATAGCCAACAAATCACAATACAATGTCTCCCGTGGGGAATTAATTTATGAATGTAAGGATAGGCAGATTTGTGGAAAGCAACATGTAATTAAAAGCATAATGGGAAAGAAAATCATTATTAATAGGCTAAGAAGGATTATCTCTTATTTCAAATGTAAATTGAATGCAATGCTCGATTAAATCGATATCAAGAACATTATTTATTATAATATAATAGTTGTTAGAATATATGTATGAAAAAAAACACACAAATAACCTTCCTCAAAAACATACCTCCCATGCAGAAAAAATAGCATTTGTAATAGACATCCAAAAATAAAGTTCTAAACTACTATACTTATAGAATGAGTTCTAAACTACTTTACTTATGAATTACTTATAGAATGCACAAAAACAGCCAAGCTACAATTTTTGTTTGATAATCAAGAAGTTAACTTTAGTTGCAAAATACATTAAAAAGAATGCGATTTAACCAATATGAAATAGTGAAAAGAGATAAACAGGGATAAGATAGAAATTAGAATGAAAAAGATTCTAATAAGATGCTAAAAGCTCAATATTTAAGTATGAAAGGATTCTCAGAAATCAAGTTTAGTAACTGAAAAGCAGGGTCGAATGATTTTAGTAAAAGAAAACTCAAACTTATATAGCTCTACATGGCTGAAATTCTAATCATAACATTGTTTATTATCCTGATTTTGAACATATCTTTCATGTTCTTTAAGTTTAAGTGTGCATTTAGTTTGTCTAATCTATGCAAGGTGACATTGACCAGAAATTCTTGAAATGTCCTAAAATTTGTTAAAGTTTAGGACTAGGGTTGGAACAACTATGAATTAATAATTTTATTGCATGAATAACCTTCTACACATAGAATAAATCTGTAAAAAGCAGCAACATAAGGTTCACAAGTACTTTATTGAGGAGATCACTATTGGAATAAATTTTAGAGACACTGTAAACAAGTGTACAAAAGGCAACTATCTTTTGATTAAGGGGATGAGATGATAAGGGCCAGGGAGTGAAACTTTTTCTTTTATCCCATCTCTCTAATCAGAAGATAGTTGTTCTTCACGTGCTTTACGTCTCTAAAATTTTGACGTTTAGTAATTACATCAGTGAAGAACTCTTTTATTTTAAAGCTATTACAACTCAATGTGGGTTTCCTTCTAATGTTGTTGATTTTATCTTTAAATACATAATCAGGCAATCCAACAATCTCTTAAATTTGAACTTTAATTATCTGAGTAAAAAAATACTCTCTCATCTATGAAAAGACTAAATTTCATCAACTTTAAACACCCTATTGCAGACATTAATATCTGGGTTTTTACAAAATTACTAGTCAGTGTCGCCTTGCATATATTGGACAAACCAAATTTACTTCTCAAACTTCAAAAAAACAAACAAAAAAAACATGAAAGATGGATTCATATCAAGATATATAACCATCTTCCATAGCGTTACATAGCTGGATTTCTAATCATAGATTTGAGTTTTCTTCTGCTAAAGTTATTCAACTTTGCTTTTCAGCCATTAACCTTGGTTTCTGGACATAAATTTCATATTATCATTTCATATTTTGAATAATTCTAATAATTTAATTACCTAGTAACTGATTGTTTTTTATGTTAAGATGCAACTGTACAGAATAAAATATATTCTTTATCTTCCTCTTTAATAAGCTTGTTCTATTATTTTCCTCATCCCTTTCTGATTAAATCAGCTTTTTTTTTTATTTCAATTTGAACATGAAATAGACTGTCTAAAAAGTAAATAGACTTGTTTTTTTAAAGTAACTTATAAATAGGATAATTGTGGTATCAATTATACCACAATTAAAAAATTTCATATGGAATAGTCATCGAATTATTTAACGTTGACACAACTTGTAAGTTTCTTAAAAATTGAACAGGAGTATATGACAATGATGAAATAAAATCAAAAGTTAATAAATGGCTTACCTCATACTTGTTCAATAATGTCTCGTCTTTTGTTAAAAAGCGCTCTATCACAGGCAAAACTTTGAATTTCAAATTCTGTTTTCTCCATTGGTAAATTAAAATTGAGAAAACAAAAGTTCATGTAAACCATGAATTTTAAATTGCTGAAATTCGTTTTTTTAGAATGTCAACATGTAAACAAATTATAGCAGGATTACTTTCCTACTGCATTGCCCTGCCATAATTTGTTTCCATGTTGATATTTTAACAAAGAATTTCAGTATAGGTGAAAGAGAATTTGCCATGAAGAATTTTTCCTGCAATATAGCGTTCTCTTGAAAGTCTGCATGAATTCCACAATCATCAAGAGTTTAATGTACCCTCAAACATAGCCATGTCTTTTATGTTAGCTTAATTCTGTACCTTTCAATCAACACATTTTCCCACGGTTATGGATTGTTCCAGTACTTTGCTCCTGGTGTCATAAAAAAAAGCAAAACATTATTTTCAAAAATAGTCAAAGTTTTTTAATTGTATTTTACTTTAACATATTACAGTTACAAATATCTGAACCAACAGAGGGTCTTTCAAAAATTAGACGCAATATACATAATGCTTTGAACTAAACTTTACGTAAACACTGCATTATCTGATGGATACAGGCACATGTTGGCATAGATGGCAAGGGGACTGTAGACGTCTTAGCCAAAGTGAGACAACTAAATGAGAAATTCTTCTAATTAAGAAATTCTAGTTTCAAAATTAAGAAATAGGGGTATTTTGTTGAAACATGAGATCTGCAAACTTAACATCAGCAGAAAACTTACAAGAACCCTAACAAGGTTAAGAACTTCTGGAGGATGGAACCAGAACGCAAACTAACTGAGATAAGTTTCAACATCGAACTGGGACCTGATCGTGTTTTCACCTGCCCTGCTATAATTTCTGCTAGAAGATTAGTGATTGTCCCAAAGAGGACCTACATGCAGACAATTGCTTGAAGATAAGCTGAGGCTGTGGACCACCCATGGCACCATCTAGTAGACTGTCCAACAAACATCTAAAATACCATTCATTTTATAGAAGAAAATCAAAATGTAGAATCTAAATGTTAATTTTTCAAAACATGATTTTCAAAAGTAGTTAAAAAAATTTTTGTACCTTACTTAAATATGTTAAATGAATATCTAAAATACCATTTCTTTTTTTATAGAAGAAAATCAAAATGGAGAATCTAAAAAACTATCCACTTCTGACTCTATCGAAGAAGAAACTGCTGAAAGTGCAAATTCTCAAGTGCAAGAAAACGGAACACCCACTGAAGAGTGAATATCAAAACCTGATGACGTTTTGACCTATGCTTGAAAATTACAAGAACCCTGTCTGTAATCACGATGATTCAGTAATAGGTTCTTTTAGTTTACAACCTACTTTATTTGTGTACACAATTAAGTGTCGAGAGAGTTCTTCAAGCTCCTCAGCGATTTTGAGTTTGTGCATGGAAACTCATGGAATCGTGTGCAAAAAATCGCAGTCACCGCGATTGTACTCGACGATTTTATTTTTTCTACCTTTGTGAAAAAGATTTGCACGTACTATATATTTTTAACTTTTTAGAAATTGTTGTTAAAATAATAATAATAAAAACTTCTGTAAATTCGCATTTAGGTCAGAATACAATATTTTCATTTCATGTATTTATTTGTTCATTTGACTTCCTGGCTATTTGTATAAAAAAAAAAAAGACATTCCTGTTTAAATTGTAGTTAAAGAGACCTTACAATTTTTTTTTTAGAATATAAAGGTCTTCTTTAATGTAAAATCTCTTGTGTTAATAAACTTGGCATTTTATGTGAAAAGACAAATTAATATTTCATATGGCTAAAGATAAGAAAGATTTCAGTGAATCAAACTAATTCTAAAGCTAAACTTTGAATAACTTTTTAGATATTTACTTTCTTAGACAGTACAATAAAATTTTATTAAATGTATGCACTCAAGAATAGGGTTGTCCACAATTATTCGAGCTGATATGGTCTCAGTGACGGAATTTTTAAATTACAATGTCTACTTTATTTCATAGAAATATGATCTTCACCATAAAGAAATTTAACTAGAATAGGAGCAATTTTTTTTACATGGAAAAATAAGGCACTAAGCAGAAATGAAGAAAAGAATATTTTATAAGTCAACAACCGAAAAGAAAGATGCTGTCATTTGCTTCTTTTTTTCCATTCATGATATTCACCATTTAAAGTTTTTTCATGACAAATGTAGGTGTTGTCATTTGAAATTATTAAAATTCTGCAACCCCTAACTTAGACAGCTGAATAATCGTTTTAACACTAAAATATTATTTACCAGGGTTCAAGAGTAGATAACTTTTTTTATAAGGCTATAAAAATATAAAAAATATTAATTTTTCTTTTTACATAAAATGTAACTAATGAGATAGTTGATGAAGAAAATGCAAAACAGACTTTGGCCATTTTTATAAAGTTACATCCTTCAGTTATGTGACATTTTTGTTGTTGCTATATTTGTTATTAAAATACTTTAATCTATTCAATGTAAAATGTTCCATAGTAGTTGTATTTAATATAAGTTTAGACTTTTGTAACATTTTTATAATCAGTTCTGAATTTAACAGTGACAATAATTAAGAACAACATGCATAAAGCTGCTGTTTGAGTCGTTAAAAACTTAATACCATGATGGTGACTCTATAAAACATGTACAGTGTACAATTTAAAATCAATGTACAGATTTTATTGTGTTTCACATTTTTAACACTAATTATTAAAAAAATAAAGAATTGTGTCTGTTTACTTATTTGTAAATGAAAACTGTGTATTTGTTTATGTTAAGTACCCCCTTATACTTTAACATTGAAAGAAAACTAAAGAAGTCCTCTTCTTTAATTTTTTTCAAAGAAGCGTGTAAAAACTATACCTCATTCATAAATGATATTGCTTGTTTTTCAACATTTTTGAAAAACATGCAATATTTCAAAATTTTTGTCTCCCCTTTGTCCCAAAGTGATAACATTTCAATGTACCCCGCCTCACGTCGTGCTATATTACGTGAACTTCTTGCAATTCAGAAACATTAAATAATAATATTACAAATTTCAATTTTAAATTCTTACTAAGTGTTGTCATTTGTGACAAAACAATAATAACAATTATACGTGTACTTATTTTTATAAAAATAAATTAAATTAAACTCTATAAATAATATAATCTGAAGATTTTAAATCATTGTTGACATTATATAAAATCAATATTTAAATTACTAGATTATAAAAAAGAAATATTTAAATCTACTGTGATTATTTTTTTTTAAAAATCAAACTGAATTTTTATAAAGAAAATTTATTAATTCTAAATAATTTTTTATGCGATGTAATTTATGAATATATTCTTTAGGGTGCACATGTACATTCGTTTTCATAAGTCTAATTTCATTGATAACGAAGATTTTTAACTTAGAAAGAATGAAAAGGATATGCTTGTAAAATTATTATATTTCAAAATAGAAAGGAAAAAAAAAATCGAAGATCACATGAATAAAATTGACAAACTTTTAAACTATAATTTTCTTTGATAGCAAGTGAGAAGCCGGTAGTAAACATATTTCAATTATATTAATTTAGTTTTGCATTTATTTAAATAGAGTGCTTTTAAAACTTAATAAATATGTTGCTAGGGTATATCAATTATGGAAAAAGCTAGTTCTACCCAGAGCAACATAAAAAAAAATTTTTTTTTAGTAATGTTTTCGAATCTAAACTTATTTACTCTTCATTGAGGGAGTCTAAAATTGCCAAAAAAATGCTGACATTTTATATAACAGGGACCGTTCAAACATTACATAATCACCTAGTGGAAGAGAATGGGTTTGTGATCTGCTTACTTTTGGGAAGAATATCTATTGGGAAGCATAGCTAACTCAATACATGGTATTTTCAGTAAAAATTAAGTTAGGGAAAAAAAATTTCTTCTAGGACTTTTAGAGGTCCAGAGCTTTAATGACAAAATAAAAACTTAAAAGATTTCTAAAGTTATATAGTTGTATGTATATATACATATTGTTATGCTATGTTATATCGTTTATTTGAATTTGGTCATAAAATTAGATTACTCTCTCTTCAGTAAAAATGAGAGTTGAAGCAAAAATAAATATTTGATGCTACTTTCTTACGTAAACGTGGGAGAAGTTGTCAAAACGTGCTTATGCAATATTTGGAAGGTCCCTTACCNTTGTTGTTGCTATATTTGTTATTAAAATACTTTAATCTATTCAATGTAAAATGTTCCATAGTAGTTGTATTTAATATAAGTTTAGACTTTTGTAACATTTTTATAATCAGTTCTGAATTTAACAGTGACAATAATTAAGAACAACATGCATAAAGCTGCTGTTTGAGTCGTTAAAAACTTAATAATATGATGGTGACTCTATAAAACATGTACAGTGTACAATTTAAAATCAATGTACAGATTTTATTGTGTTTCACATTTTTAACACTAATTATTAAAAAAATAAAGAATTGTAACTGTTGATAATTTTGTCTGCTTACTTATTTGTAAATGAAAACTGTGTATTTGTTTATGTTAAGTGCCTTATAGTTTAACATTGAAAGAAAACTAAAGAAGTCCCCTTCTTTAATTTTTTCAAAGAAGCGTGTAAAAACTATACCTCATTCATAAATGATCTTGCTTGTTTTTAACATTTTTGAAAAACATGCAATATTTCAATATTTTTGTCTCCCCTTTGTCCCAAAATGTCACATTTCAACGTCGTGCAGTTAAGAAACATTAAATAATATTACAAATTTCACTTTTAAATTCTTACTAAGTGTTTTAATGTCATTTGTGACAAAACAATAATAATGATTATACATGTACTTATTTTTTTTTTAAATAAATGAAGATAAACTCTATAAATAATATAATCTGAAAATTTAAATCATTGTTGACATAATATAAAATCAATATTTAAATCACTAGAATTTAGAAAAGAAATATTTAAATCTACCGTGATTATTATTTTTAAAAAAATCAAACTGAATTTTTAAAAAAAAAAATTTATTAATTCTAAATTATTTTTTATGCAATGAAATTTATGAATATATTCTTTAGGGTGCACGTGTACATTCGTTTTCATAAGTCTAATTTCATTGATAACGAAGATTTTTTACTTAGAAAGAATGAAAAGGATATGCTTGTAAAATTATTATATTTCAAAATAGAAAGAGAAAAAAAATCGAAGATCACATGAATAAAATTGACAAACTTTTAAACTATAATTTTCTTTGATATCAAGTGAGAAGCCGGTAGTAAACATATTTCAATTGTACTCATTTAGTTTTGCATTTATTTAAATAGAGTGCTTTTAAAACTCAATAAATATGTTGCTAGAGTTATCAATTATGGAAAAAGCTAGTTCTGCGCAGAGCAACATAAAAAATAAAAAAATTTAGTAATGTTTTCGAATCTAAACTAATTTACTCTTCATTGGGAGAGGGAGTCTAAAATTGCCAAAAAAAATGCTGACATTTTATACTCACCTAGTGGAAGAGAAGGGGTTTGTGATCTGCTTACTTTTGGGAAGAAGGGATATGAGCATTGCTAACTCAATACATGGAATTTTAAATAAAAATTAAGTTAGGGGAAAAAAATTGAAAAAAGTTTGTTCTACGACTTTTAGAGATCCAGAGCTTGAATGACAGAATAAAAACACAAAAGATTTCTAAAGTTATATAGTTATATATATATATATATATATATATATATTGTTATGCTATGTTATATCGTTTATTTGAATTTGATCATAAAATTAGATTACTCTCTCTTCAGTAAAAGTGAGAGTTGAAGCAAAAATAAATATTTGATGCTACTTTCCTATGTAAACGTGGGAGAAGTTGTCAAAACGTGCTTATGCAATATTTGGAAGGTCCCTTACCTTCATAACCATCAGCAGTTGGGTCAATCTGGGGTTAAAGAAGTTCTCGTGCTAGCTGGACAATATAGATGCTGTTTTCTGATACAAAATCTTGTGATCAGTGGGGTACCTTAGGATTAAAGCGATAACCCTTATGGGGTTTAACATTTAAAAAAAAAAACTTAAAATTTTCCATCCATAAAAATGTAGAGCTATTATGTAGGAAAAATTAACTAGAGTGTCACACACACTGATTCAATATCACAATACATAAAGAAAGGTATTCTAATTACAAAGCTTAAAAGTACTGACCTTTTGCACCGAAGTTTGAAGCCCGGATCTTGCGTCTGGACTTGTATCTTGTTCATGTTAGCATTAAGACATCAATGTTGATCATATGAGTGGAATAAGTTAAGTCTTTTATACCCAATGTTTTCTGCATTTTTTAAATAATTAAAATCATAGCATTAACAAAATGAGTACAGTAAAGCCCTCCCACCAAAAAAAAAAAAAAAAATAANAGTAAAGCCCTCCCCCCAAAAAAAAAAAAAAAAATTATCACCCTTTTAACAGACATATATATGATATCACCTTAATAATTGTTTCAATAATGATTATATTTTCTTGTACTAAGATTATAATCTAATGGTTAAAAGCATTTACCTTGTTTACGCTAATTATTAATTAAGTTACAAGATTAAGACAAAAACGTACTTCCTCTGAACAATCATTTCTTTATTTCTACTTATTTGAATTTAAAATATGAGTGATAACCGCAATCTAGACTCGACAGTTAAGTTAGAAAAGTGATCGAAAGTATAGACCCCTTATAATGTCATTTTCACTTTTTGGGTATTTCTCTACACCACTACATCTATTTCAATAAATTATTTAGCTACACAAATATTTACATCATTTTAAGCCATGCAATTTTAAACGAAATATAAAAAACTTGAACAAAATCGGTAGATAGTTTCTGAGTTAAAAAATGTCAAATAAAGAGTATTTTCATCTTTAGGAACTAAAAATGTCATTTAAAACAACATTAGATGTAAAAATTTTATAAATTGCAATTGAAATTTTTACTCGACCATAATTAAAACGAAATTAAAAAATAATTTTAAAAAAATATATATTGCGCATGGAATTATCCTTTTATAAACGAATATTAAAGTTCATTTATACTAAGATGTAAAAAAAATTTCGATTCGTTTAACTTCAATAAATTTACATCTAAAAGTTAAAAAAAATAGCCGCATTACACATCATTAAGGGTAGCTCTGGGCCGGAATAGCCTGATTGGTAAGACGTTTGGTTCGTGTTCGTGAGTTCGAATTCTGCCAGCCGAAGAATCCCCATGTATAAAATGGTGACTGGGGCACGTTAAATCTGTCTGGGTTACAAAGTCCTCCACGGTCCCATAACAAATAAATTCCTCTGAGGGTACTGAATTGGAGATGGATCGTTCACTGGTTCAGGTCAAAAGTATGATCTGTGGATGAATGAATGGGGTATGATTAGGTCTTCCCTTTAAAACGGGCAGTGACTTATATGTGCCTGAAGCCTTATTCTTGATTATAGATGGCGCTACTGAAAAAAAAACTAGAAAAGCACCCTCTGCCTTAAAAATTCGGTTGATTTCAAGCAGGCTTGCTGGTATCCGCAAGTGGCGAAAGTAACAAGATGGGCTTTCTCAATTAAACTATTGGGTTCATATTTTCCAGATTGCGACTGTATCTTTTATTTTGATGATCAAAAATTCAAAACAGTCGGGGAAAAAAGCTATATTTATTTAAGGAAAACAGGTTTTATTTATGGTTTCGAAGTTGGCACGAATTCATTAGCATATTTAAAGAAGTCTACCTATTCACACGGTAAAAATACGATCATTAAAACAAAAGTCATTTAAGATTATATCTTTCTTTAAAAAAGTGTATCGTAGAGCATCATTGCTAATGCTATCGAGAAAACCATAATTTCAGATTTATTATTAGTATACAAATTTCTTTAAGAATATACTGTAAAATACTCAAATGTACTGAAATTAACAATAAGAAATAAACAGTGAATTTGATTTAATAGTAAAAGATTAACGATTTAATCTAAATATCCCATAGTACGTCGCTACCAAAGATATGAGATAACCAAGGGAAATAAATAGAGAAAAAAGTTACATATTTTAGACTTTCCATACCATACACATGGGCTAACATGCCCAAGGTCCAAATTTACTGTTTTAGTCCGAAAATTCTCGACTATGATCTTATTATATGCCATCAATATATTGTCCTGATACCATTGTACCACGCCCTTCAATATTTCAAATGTATAAATTGGTAACCAATATTTTGCTATGAATACTAACTTTAAATTTAGACATTAGTATAGTTGTACATCGTAAGACAAAAAACTTGATATCCACTATGTTTAAAAAGTTATGACAAATGAAGACTTAAAGTGATAAGTGCAAAGAATTTTAACGGCTTACATATTGCTCGGCAATTAAAATCAGAAGTGTGAGCCCCATCCGCGGCCTTCAATAAGCCACAACAAATAAATGAAGACAGAGAGTGGCAAGTGATACAACTGTTAAAAAAATGCAAAAATTGTAGATGTTGAAGTATCAAAAAAATATATATAAGTGAAAAGACTTTTGGTTTTTATATTGCTCAAAAGTTAAAATCATTACTGAGAGCCACACCCTGAATTTAATACGCCATGATAAATAAATGAAGACAGAGAGTGGTAAGTGGTATAACTGTTATAAAAAAATGCAAACATTGTGGATGTTGAAGTATCACAAAAATGTATATAAGTGAAAAGACTTTAGACATTCATATTGCTCAAAAGTTAAAATCATTACTGAGAGCCACACCCTGAGTTTAATACGCCATGACAAATAAATGAAGACAGAGAGTGGCAAGTGGTATAACTGTTGTTAAAATCATTAGTGTGAGCCACATCAACTATATTTAACAAGTCGTAACAAATAAAGACTGGAAGGGGTTAGTGATTTAACTGTTAAAAAATGCAAACATTGTGGTTCATTTGTCTAAAGAAAAATACATAAGTGAAAAAGCTCTATATGCTTACATGTTAAATAGTAATAGTTTTTCAAATGTCGATAAAGGGTGTTTTGCATTGAGGGAGACTTAAGGTCATAAATGTTTCAGCAGTTTTTCCAAATTCCAATCATTTCCACTTTATTTTCATTTTTCTAACTTGGCCCAAGTTACCACCAAATACAAAAACTGGTAAAGGTGGTAAGTATTTTTAAAACTTTTTCAAAGCCTTTTTTCCTTAAAATTTGAAATTCAGCAAAAGTAATAAATCAAACTTTTTATGCAATTAATAAAAATCTCCTACCATTTCTACAAACTACCTTTTTCGAATTTTTAATTCATGTTTTGAAAATGTTTTTAAACTACATTTTGAATAATTTATCAATCCAATACAATCCTTATTGATAATCCTTGTATTGCTGGTAATTTAGCTAACAGTATCAATCAACATACTGGTGTACCGAAATACGAAAGTTCAAATTAAAAAAAAAGTTGAAGGAAAAAGAAATGTGTGGTTTATTGTGTTCTTCTTAAGAAACGAGATAATATTTTGCACCAACTTACAACAAAGTTTGTCAATAGATGGCTCTTTTAACTTGAAAAACTACAAACCAATGTTAGCAACTGAATGTCATACTATTTCAACTGAAAAATTTTATGGGTGTGTGTTAACTTTGTCCAATACTGTGATTTGTCGCTTTGCCTATATATTATAGTTTAATTTAGCAGCCCCATCTGTTACCAAACTTTAAAACTTGAAATTTGGAGGAGAAAAAAAATTACCTAGTTTCCAAAGCAAAACAAAGCAATCCATTTCAATATCCTTCAGTTTCCCCTTTATTTATTTTTCAAATGATCTGTTATAATTGGGATTCAAGTAATATTCCTATATTCCCTATGATTTTTGTGTTAATGTATCATTCGTATTTATTTTCTCATGAAAAACATTACTCAAGAATATTTAAATAATCTTTACTAGAAGATTTATAACATCCACTATAACAGATAAAATCTCTTAGAAGTAGTGTTTTCCTATACACAGCAATTTAATAAAAAGAACACTGTACATTTCAAATATTCATAATGTACTACACTCTTAACAATACAATACATGTAGATATTTCTCTATACATTGATTTGTTTGCTTTTACAATAAGTTCACAGACGACTATATTTATAAAGTACTAAATATTGCTATCCAAATCATTTACAATAAATGACAAATGTCAGAGGATAAGGCATACAAACTCCCAAATTTTTTTTAAAAAAAATGAAATAATTAGAAGATCCCATTACACAAAGAGCACATGATATAAGTTCATTTATATATTTGTACGTTAAACTCTATCTGGACATCTTAGTTCATTAAAGATAACCACTCAATCAGATTTAAAATCATTGATTAATGAAGTAAAAATGTCTTAAAGAGAAAGATAAGAATAATTAAACTTTATTGAGGCAAGAAAAAAAAAATGTCACAATAGATTTTGATGAAACAAGAAGTATTTAAGCAAGAGAGCACAAAATAGCTTTGAGCAAAGCCAGAATGATAATATTATAATATTTTTTTAACGTCTCTTAAATAAAGATAGGAATGCCAGTTAATCGTTTCATATTTCAATAGAAAGTTAAATTATAATGGCACAAGAGACAGATGCAGCTGCATTGTGTCAAATGCACTCAATAAAGCACAATGTGAAGGAAACAAAACAACATAGCGCTGTAATAATGTCTAAATAAAATGAGACAAGGAAATAACTAAAACAAAAGGCTAGAAAGGTCACCTTAAGGATATGCCTTAGGACCGTCGATTCATACATACCTCTAAAAGGTAATTGCTCTGATGATACAAAATATTAGAAAATCCGTTGTGTATAATCTTGCATTCCCTTAAATTAGCACATACATGAACAAAGAAATATTTAATGGCCATGAAACCACATTTATCTGAAGAAGATAAATGACTTGTTGGTACAAAATTTTGGAAAGACTCATGCATAATTTGCATTCTCTTAAATTAGCACATACATTAACAAAGAAATATTTAATGGCCTGGAAACCATATTTACCCGAAGAAAACGATTGCACTGATGGTACAAATTGTTGGAAAATCTGTTGTGTATAACAAACATTTCCTTACATTAGTGTATGTATAAACAAATTATATTTAATGGCCATTGGCGGAAGAAGGTAAACATGATAGTTGAAAATACTGAAAAATCTGTTGTTTATGATGCACATTCCTTAAAATTAGCACATTAATTAGGAATCTATAATGGCAACAAAAAAAAACTTAATCAATTGTAGAGATAATATATGTGAATAATGAAGATAATATAGATGAATATAGATATAACATGGATTAATAATACAAATAGCCAGGATGAATAATAGTGTTAAAATTTTAAAGTACATCTATACAAACACTGGTATTCAAAACTTTTAACGACTTAAAATATCTTAGAAGGTAAATTGGCACTAAGCTAGTAGTGACCATGAGAAGTAGTGTATATAAAATTAATTTCACAATTGAGTAGTTAAGTTACTAAAGTTTCAATGATATCAAAATTTTGTGAGACAATGTTCATGACATTTAAACACATTTGACAGAATTTAATAAAGACAACATTTAAAGCTAGGAATGTCACAACAACAATATAAATTTATTCTGCACTTAGTTCGCAAGACAACAGTTACCACCAAATACAAAATAAGTATAGAACATCAGAGCATTATAATGTCTGAACATAAACTGATGTTCTATTATGCAAAATAGAACATAAATTCTTAGACATACATTAAAAATACATTATTATACTGTCATGTTAAGGTTAAATTTTAAGTAAAGTATGCTATTATCATCGTACTTTAAAACCATTCGCAGCTGTGTAAATAAAAAAAAGAAGCTTATATTCAAATGGAATTTACAAAGCAGAAAAAATTGCAATGCAAACTTTTATGATATTTGCAATGCAAAATATCCATAGGACGTATTGGTGATAAAATGAACATTTCTGCAACCTAAATTTGGAAATAAAAGAGCTGCAACATGTTAAGCAAATAACAGATATGAAAAAAGAAAAATGTTTATCCAAGATGCTAATAAAAAGAGTATCTAAGTAACTTATCAAATGAGATGTAAGTTATTAAAAGAAAAAATACAGAAAAGGAAACATTTTTCATGAAATATAATCTGTAAAAAAGCTTAGAAATCGAAATGAAGCAACATGGAAGGCAAATAAAAGAGCTGTATAAAGAAAAATGACAAAATGTTATGCATAACATAAAATTCTTAAATAAATTAAAATTCTTAAAAAAATAGCAATAAGTTTTAAATAGATGAAGGGTTGCAACGCGTTAAGAAAATCAAAGTAGCATAAAAAATGCATATCAAAGAAAGCAGTTTTGAAACAAACTGTCATTAAACACGGCAGAAAACCACGATCATGAAAAGAAATTTAATTATTAAAATCTATCAGACAAATCTAAATAAAACTTAACAAAATTATTACTTCAACAATGCTTAGTAAACAAATGAGCAATAGCAGTTCAGTTTCACCAACAAAATTTGTAAATCTGAGAGTAACTAGAAATGATTGACTTAGTATTTTTTAAGGAAAGTGTACGCTTAAATACACTGAAGGCACTACAGTTAGAGAGAGAGAGAGAGAAAAGTAATTTCCTGTACACACATTGTACATAGTATTCACAATATTATTTACGCCAAATATTTCACAGAGTCTCTACATTATGCTACTCTTTAGTATAATGCTTAAACATAAATACTTTATTAATATGATTAATTATAATTTGCACAATAAGAAGAGTGGAGTATATGCAATTATGTTTAAAAAAAACTTTCTCACACTATATCATTTAGAGCTCAATGGAAACACATGTAAAGTGAAATTTAATAAAATTTTGCAAAATCAAATTCAATGAATATAAAAGCTTCATAAAACTGTTTCTTTTTTTTCTTTATTAAATGCCACCTTGGTAGTTGGACTGAATTCAATTTCTTTTTTACTCACATTCAACTAAAAACATTAGTATTTTCAAAACACCACTTAATATGTTTTTCCACTTACTTCAGAGTGTTAGAAAACAAGCAAAAGATCTCCAACTTATGCTGTAAAAAATATTTTTTGTTTTAAGTATAGTAAAAATGCATCAAATTGTTTCAACCATGATTTTTGAATGATTATATATATAATAATGTATTTGCATAAAGGGGACAATCATTTAAAAATATTCAAGTAAACAAGTATTGAAAAAAGCTATAGAAATTACAAAATTATCTTTAAGTATGACTTTCAATTTAATATTATCAAAATAATATTCATAATAATAAATATTATTGAAGCTAACAACTAAAAATAGCAATCTTTATAACGTTATTGAACTTAACTAAAAAAATAAACATAGTATTAATAAAGTTATTAGCTCAAAACAATAATCATGATATTATTAAAGCTAATAACTAAAAATAATGATCTTGATAACATTAATAAAATTATCAGCTAAAAATAATAAACAAGCTATTATTGAAGCTAACTACTAAAAATAGCGATCATGTTATTATTAAAGTTAACAAATGAAATGCTTGCAGCATACGTGATTCTTTTAAAGTTATTTTTAACTAAAGTATAGTCACTAGAGAAAAAAAATACACGACAACTTTGATAATCATTTGGCACAAATTTGTTTTCTTAATTCAAAAGTTTAGTGGAAATGCACGTTAGGAAATATTCAATTATAAGCCAAAAAAATTAATTTTAGAATGTAAAAACGCATCACCTGAAAGCTGCTTAAAAAACATCTTTTTCCCTGAAAATCCCCTTTCTTGAAACTGTTTCATTACAACAGAGTAAGACTAGTAGTTAAATCTGGATTTAACAACATATCTTACAAAATGTAACAAATTACACGCTGATCAAAATAAAATTTAGCATGCTCTTCCACGAAACTTTTCACTTGAAAATCTTTCCAGTTCATAAAGAATTGAAATTTACAAAAAATTGGTTTGTGTTATTGAATAAATATTGTTCTAAGTGTCATGAAAAAATTAGAATCATGCACACTTATAGGAAGTGGAATACGATACAATGTTCCAAGTAACAATGAATAAACATGATCTATCTTAAAATTTAATCCAAGCCAATGAGAAAAAAAGTATGAAATGAAAAGAGGAAAAAAAACTTCTCTGTTGCAAGTTTACATCATCTTGCCTCTTTGTACAAAACTCAACTTATATTTAACACAATTATTTTTACATTTACAATACAGTAATATATTTATTAAACATATATTTAAAAAAAATTAAATGTATAATTTATCATTATAACACGTACCTAACATTTTTTTGAGCTTAGCTCTTCAATGAAGCATTTGGAAGTTTGGTAATTAAATTGCTTGTGCAATTTTCAAGAGAAAAATTCGACATTGCTAATATATATTAATAGCTTATAATTGAATTACACATCTGAACTTGCAACAGAGGATTGAGTAAAGAGTCAACTTGAAAATATGATACAAAAATGAAATGTTTTAAGTAGAGTTGCACAACAATAAACTTAATAAGTCTATTGAGCATATATGAACAAACATATTTACAGACATATTTAGGTACATAAGAGAAAAAATACTAATCAGCACATTGATATTTAAACGTGCAGATAAAGAAAAACCTAACAGAATCTTGTAATTGTTGAATATTGTAAGACTATCAGAATCAGTAAAATATCATATTAATAATCCCAAATATCCCACCTATTTCTTTTCTGCATAGTGCTTAACATCAAAGGGCAAAACCATAACCTCTTTAGTTCTAGTTTTAGATGCAGGGATAATAAATATTAGATAATACAGAAATGTAAGATTTTTTTTATTATTGAAAATCACTCATATTTAAGGAAACAATTTAAATACTTTTGCAGATCTATATATTAAAGATAAGCTGAAAGCAATTATGTCACATAAAAAAAAATTTCAGGATTAAAGAAATAAACATAAAAATTGATGCTAGCAATAATTTATTTAACAGCAAATAAAAAACTATGCTCCCATTTTAAAAAATCTAATAAGAATTTTGATGACTTTTACGCTATTTGCTATCATATAAATCCATTTTTCACTAAATTAAAAACATATACAGTGGGATAAATCATAAAACTGAAGAGGTAAATTGTATACAAGAAAAGTTTAATGAAATTTAACAACAAATTTTAATTCTTAAATAGTATTTTACCATTAAAATGTAATAAAATTTAACAGAAACTTAAGTAACCTTAATTAAACTAGCTTTAACCTATAAAAAAAGCATTTACTCCAAGGGCCAGAGACTTTAACAACTTCAAAGATCGAAAAAGTCAAATTATACAACTTATGAATAATTTTATAAAAAATTTAGGAGTATTTATATTATGATGCGCTTATTTGTTTGACATAAAAGAAAGAAACATAAAAACATATTAAATTTTTAGTCTATGAGTCAAATAATTATGACCTATAAATAATCTTGATAAAAGATTTTTTTTTTAATATTACTTTTTGAATACATATGACAGATGAAAAAACATTTGCATTTTGTAGTTCAATTTAGTGATACAGCTTTTAGAAATGTTTTCATTTAAAAATATGCATCTATTTTTAAAATATGCTTTTCTGAAAAATGAATAATGAAAATATGTCTGAAAATTTTCAAATGTTTCATAATAATATATTTATTTTAATCTTAATTCTGTAGCAAAAGTTTAGTCCAACTGACATATTAAAAAAGCTGAGACTTAATAATGTCTTTTTAAAAAGAAAGACAATTTAGTAATATTATCAATTTTAATCTCCTCAATATTTAGCAAATGTTATTTATAATACAGAAGAAAATTTATCATTACACTTTAAAAATGAGTTTATATTGCTAATATACACATTCATCATCTTAATTAGTAAGCCAAAAATAAATTATATACCTATAAAATAGCATTACAAGATAATATCCTAACAAAAAAGTGCAAGATTGCATTTTTAGTAATCTTAAAAATGGCATAAAAAAACATAGCATCATACAAGGAGCAACCTCATTAATCAAAAAGATAGTGGCATAACACAATTATTAGAATACAAGCGCAGTAACTAATGCAAAAATCATATATTTTAAATAAATATAAAAAAGTAATATAGTATTAATATTTCAGATAAACTAAGTCTTTTGAGCAGACTTAAGATACATTTTTAAAAAATTTTTTTACAGGTATAAAGTTTTTTTGAGGAAGAGAAAAAGGATTTAAATGGAAAAAATACATTTTCGATGTTTTCAAAAGCAAATATGTAAAATGCCGTAGAAAAAAAAATTTTCTTTTTAAAGGTAATTTTTTAAAAGCTTGTCACTTCTTTATATACAGAAAACAACACATTTATTCAGAAGAGGATTTGTAATCTTTTAATGCCATAGAAATAACAAAAACTATTCAAGCACACTATGAAATATGATTCAGTAGAGGATACGACACCAACCAACCAACACATTTATTTAATAGCAGTAGCCTTTTAATATTAAGTAGAGATTATACTGGTCTAAATTATAAATGATAAAGTAAAAAAAAAATTTAATGCATAATATTTTTATTTGACTACCAGTTTTATACTATGTTTTGTGAACACTGTACTTTTATTAAATTATAATCTGGAATATAAAGATAATTATCAGCAATATTGTAGCATTTATTACATACAATTAGAAATTTAAAACTATCAAATGAACAATATGGCAAAGTATTAAAATTTAGTATATTATAAATTAAGACTTAAATGAGCAACTTATTTACTTAATTTGCATCTAAAAACTTACAACAAACATGTATTTATAATATAATGAACAAATCAGACAAATAAATAAAATTCATCGGTATGTTACTGCAATCTAGTTTTCTAACTGTTATTCACACCCATTTCAACATAAAATAATTTTATAATTACTTGAAAATGCATAAAACTATTTTTGTTTTTAAATATGAAATTTCATTGTGTCAGATAGTGCACTTAAATTTAAATAAAGATCTATTTCTTTTCTATGTTTCATTACACCCACTACATCTTTAATTAGAAAGCTATAAAAATTAACTACACCTATGATATTGAAATCATTGGCAGTGTTTCAATGCTCAAAAACAATGCCAAACCATGTTTAAAGCATTAGTTTAGGTACTTAGTACCAAACAAAAACTTAACTGTAAAATAGAATGAATTAAAAGTAGAATATAATATAGATAAAATGTATAACAGCAAGGATGGCAAATAGGATTTGATATAGGTATCAAAAAAAGAAAAATTTAAATTCAAATTTCGTTGAGAGTCAGAATTTTATGTTTTCATAAATATTACATATTTAAATTTTTTTAGTTTGCCAAATTTGGCAATTCCTTCTTTGTAGCAGCATATTTAACAAAAATAAGCATAAAAAAGTAAGTCACTCATCAATATCATTTTATACAACACTAGAAGTAATAATTTTGCAGCAAATTTTATTAAGGTATCCAACTGGGTTTGACAAATATTTTTAAAACAGCTTTCATTAAAATTTAATTATTTTTGGTAAACAAGGGTCTGAAATTTATAAATCTAAAGTAAACTTTTAGTTTTTAAAGTAAGGGCAGATAAATTAGTTTTTAAAATTAGGGCAGATTTGAGCAAAAAAACTACAAATTGTTTATGCCACATTAACCTAGATCAGTGTTTCCCAAACTTATGACTTTTGTGTTCCCTTTCTAAATTTCTCGTAACACTGCGCACCAATAATAAAAAAATGAACGTATTTTTAACTATTAAAAAATTGCACAGAAGTTAAAAATCACAACTGGCTGTTGACACCACTCATTATTAACTGTTAACTCAGCAAACAACAGCCAATAGAAAAATACGTAATTGTAAATTTTCATTGCTAGCTTTGTTTTCAAATAAATTGTTTTGAAATTTTCGTTTGTTACAAGATATTTCGCAAAGAACGCGTACCCCCTCTAAACTGTTCCCTTACCCCTGGGGGCACGCCTACCACACTTTGGGAAACAGTGACCTAGATCAATAATATGGTTACCCGTATTTTGAATTAAAATTTTTTAATGAAAGTTCACATATACAATGAACTAGAACTAAATATATCACTCAATATTGATTTCTTAAAGAAAAATTCTAAATGTTCTTATTCAAAGCAGGATAAAATAAAATTTGAAAAATTCCCACTTCGACCTAAGCTTCCAGGTTAAAATATGTATGAAAAAAACATTATATCAAGACATCCTACAAAATCTGCAAACAAAGTTTCAAAGATTTCTCTAATAATCTTTTTTGTAATGTGTGTAAGAGTAACAACATTTTTCAAAATCAACATTTCCATGAAAATTCATTGAAAGTAAACGATTGCTATTCTGCAAGCAAATGGGAAAATAACTACATATTTGATTATAAAGATCAGATGCCAAAAAGGAAAACAGATTTGGATAGCTAATAAACTAAAGTTAACAATTAAGTTATAGACAATAAAAGAAATTGTAATTTTCATCGAAATAGCCTATCTTGCCCCAGTCGGACACCGCAAAATGAGTTTTCTTTTGATATGCTTCAAGCTACACAGTTTATGCTTACAATTAATATTAAAGAAATTTTATTCAGCCATTTGCTACTACTAACCTATTAAAAAAATATCCCCACTTTGAAAATTGAGTATTTTATTTCACAAATAAATAAGAGATGCTTAATCTAATTCTAAGTTTCTTTCAATGAAAGATGTCGAATGAAACACAAATTACCGACTTCAACAAACTAATCAATCTTATTTACATTTTCTACAATTGCACTTAAAAATATATTTTATCATTACATTGATATATATAATAAATAACAGGTTATATGGTAACAAAAGTACTTTTCAAGTCAAAAACACAAATTAACAGAGATCAAGTAAAAAAATTATATTAATTTTTGAATAGATCTGTCACAAAGTATCAACAGTATCACATTTAGTCTTTCAATGAAATCTTCACAACAACTTCACAAAGCTAAGTGCCAAACATATATATCAGACATCTACATATATATATTGGACATATAAAAAAATGTTAAAAAAAAAAAAATTGCACATTCAATTTTTACATAATTTCTATGGCACCAGTACTATGTTAACAAAATTTTAACATTCATCTAAAGCTTCTCAGAAACAAAACTAAAATATATAACTCTAAATGTTATTGGAACCCTGAAAATTTGGTTTCCTTTTCTCCAATTTTGCTTACGCATAAAGCTTTTTAATAAGCAAATTTAATATAGTATATTTAAAAATAAGTCAAATTGGAAAAATAAAAATTTTTGTACTTTATCTAATTTTTACAATTATACAAGCTAATTAACAAACAACTGTAATAATGGATTGAATTGAATGTAAGATTTAATGGCACAAGGTCCAGAGAGGACATGCTGCGTCAGACACACGGTTTTAACTGTAATAATGGAATTCAATTCTTGCATACAATGTTAGTACAATGCAATGTTAGATTGTTTGCTTGTTTTTTTTAAAAAAAAAGACACTGAGAAGCGGTGTTGTATAGCTGTAATTTTTACAATTAATAGTATTACCATGACAATAACTAATGTGTTTAATTTCTAGCACAATCTAAGATGCATTGAGTATAAGAAGAAAGAAGATTTACAACCTAACAATACCAAAAATTCATTTTTTTTAATAACTTAAAATAAAATTAGTAAGGGATGAAGATTAAATGCGATAAAATTACTTTAATTTATTTCTGAATTAAATGTTACAAACGTGAAAAATAATGTGATTAAAGTCTATTTTATTTGCCACTAATAAAAACATAACATCTTGCCCATAAAATTATTTAACTGGGCTTAGAAATTTTTGTACAGTTACAAAATACAAAGAATATAACACAAAGATTTAGACAACGATAAAAATAACTTTTTTAGAAAATTGAAATATTTCTGGTGCCACACACACTAGTAATAGAGTTAATAAAAAAAAATCAAATCTATAAAAGTAACAAACAATGGTACATTTCTTTTATATTGATCTTTTAAGTCACCAATCACCATATTTTATCATTTACACATATTTCACAACTTAAAAACATTGGATATTAAAGAGCAGTAAATCAGTAATTAAAAGCTCTAATGGACTTGTATGTTTCCCCACAGACAAACTGATTTTGCCGATGTTCTTATACAAACATTGGTTTTCAAAATTTTTCAAAAAGTAGCCCTACTTCATTAAATCTGGACCTGTTGATTGAAAGTGAGTTCTATAGAACCTAATGACAATTTTAAATTTTTTACTGAATTTTCTGAAAAAAATTCCCCCCAAAAAAAGTTACAATTAAAAATCTTAAATACAACTCAGATTTTTCTTGTTTATTATCCACATTTGGATTGCAATATCATAAAATTTTGATTTAATGCTTAGAGTCACTGTTTGGACACGGAGTTTGATAGCAGAAGAGCCAGCATTGTATTTACATAACCAAAAACAACATTACTTAGGTACTAGTAACAAAAGAGAGAGAAGAGTACATACAAACAAAGGGGAAGGTCCTTGCAGACGTGAATTACAATTACAAGAAAACAAACTTTTAATTCTTACTTATCATGCCTAACAAAAATGTCTGATTCCAACAGACTTCTCTAAGAACCTATCTTTTAATTCTACTCCATTGTAATTTTCACCCAATCCTTGAACGTTATAATTATTATTATTAAGCAAATGTTAATTTCAAATTACATATTTCTAGTTTTCTTTTAACAAAAATAAATTTAAAGTTCTTAATTTGTTAAGTAAATTTTATAGTAAATGAAGAAACGGATTTTAATATACACATATCTTTAAAATGTGAAATCATGCAAAACCATTATGAGAAAAGAACAAGATGTCAATATCTGAAATTCCCACACACATAAAACTTGCCTAATTCTTTAGTAGATATTCATGAACTAGGGCATTATTAAAAATGAGTTTCATTTCCATTATATACTTAACTTTGCAACTTAGCTAAATAAATTTTGGTTAAAAATTTTACGAATCATAATTTATAAATAATTTATTTATTAATATTGATTTTTCAATCACATGAATAATTTTTTTGTCATTTTTTAATATTTTAATAATACAGTTCTAAAAGGTTCAAATGTAATAATTTTATTTTGTAATACGTCACAATTTAAACAAATGTGATAAAATTTGCCATATTTTTGTTCACATAATGCAGGGGTCTGTCCAGGCCAAATTTATCACCGTTTAGCGGTACCATCACAAATTTAACTTTAGAAAAAACAGTAGTTTCACAAAATACTTTTTATTAAAATTTTATTTTTTTATCCCGTAAGAAACGATAAATCCATATTTTCATGTTGATTTTTTTTATATAATTTTTAATTTTCACAAATTATGTCTAAATTTTCACAAAATAGGTACCTCTCAGATAAACTTAGACAGATCCCTGTAATGATAAATATATTTCTAAAAAATTTCATAAGATCAAAAAAAAAAAGATTAACCCATAAGATTTAATTTTTAATCAACCAGAAAAAAAAAAATTTCAACTCAGAATCCTACAAAATTGGCTTTGACTTTTGCAATGCAACTCCCCAGTCATGTATACCACCATATAGTTAAACATAATCTTTAGACTTTTCCAAAAGTGTTTTAAAAAATGAAAACAGTATGCCTTTTTGTGTTCAAAATAAATTTACAAAGGAGTAAAGGATACAAATTTTGAAAACCACTGATGTAAGGAATCAGTGTATGGGAAACATTCACATCAGTTTGTAAAACCACCAGACGGATGTCATTGAATTGAAATTTCCTAAACCTTTGTAAGCCAAATAGGATCATAACTAAAAAAGACTGCGGTCAATATAATAGAAAAGTACCAAAATAATTTCTCAAACCAACAAAAAAAATGAGGCAATAGGTTTTATATAATTCAAGATGCACTCACACTATTAAACAGCAGTCTGCATGGCCGAATTTTGAAGCCCATTAGACGAGTCCGATTTATTTACAAGTGTTTTCAAAACACACCCACCATCTGTAGTGATCACAACATCAGAACCTTGGCGAGAATGATTGACGAATTTGGCATTACTTACAGCGTCTTTGAACTCAAAGTTGTCTTCATTTGGAATGCTGATTAGAGGGCTTTTAGGTAATTGTAAGTCAATTCTACTGGGGTATGAGTTACTCAAAGTCATAGTCTCTCCGTTTGTAAACACTTTGAGATCTTCGTCGCTGTTTGAAATAGTCGGTGTTTCGTTCAGTTTGCCGTTGCTCTTACTGTCAACAGTGTCCCCATTTATGGCATCTTTGTCTTTCTTTTTATCTTTGCCTTTTCGTAATTGCAAGACGCCTACTTTTGTTATTCCAGCCGAAATACTGCCATACTTTCTACCTTTATTTGGAGGTTGTACTTCTGGTTCCTCACTTTCCTCGTTAATTGAAGATAGGTGAGTATTTTCAGCGCCATCTTTCTCTTGGATGGGAATATCATCTAGAAGAAAGTTTCAACATATAAAAATGCACACAAATTATTTCTAATGTAAAGTCGGAATGAATTTGGTAAAGAAAAAGCAAAAAAAGCTTAAAAGAGAAATCTAAAGTTTTATGTAATGAACTGTTAGGTTATATGAGTATCAATTTTATTATGCACATATTTTTACAGAATTAATAAGTAGGTTTAACCCTAGGAAAATTAAAAAACTTAGGTTAGATAATAATCATTCGGTTTGAAGATACACATAAATAATCGCAATAACAAAATTTGTAATATAATTCAACATTCATTTAATCAGCTGGTTTTAAAAAAACAAAAACAAAAAAAAGAGTTTCAATAATTTTGTAGGGAAAAAACAAAAATATTGAACTAAACATTTATTTACAAATAAAATTAACATGCAATTTCATAGTTCATAACTTTTTAACAATTTAGTAATTATTAAAATTGTTAATTTGGTTAAATTATTTTTAAGCAGGTATGAATTAGGTAAAAACCCAAAAAAAGATGAAAATAAAAATCTTAAATCGTTATGTGAAAAACACTTATTAAATAATTTGAAAATATTTGAAATTTTAGCTAGAAAAAGTATAAGGAATCATACATCCATAAAATATTATCAAGGCTTTAATAAAAAAAATTGAAATAACAACGATGCAGGTTTTTTTTTATTTTTTTAAATTGTGCGAATACAAATCTCAATGTTTGATTTTTAAAATACATGAATATGAATCTCTGTGCTTGATTTTAAAATGCATGAATAGGAATCCCAATGTGAGATTTTTAAATCAGATTCATATAAATCCTGATGCAAAATTTAAAATTTCATGAATACAGATTACAATGTATAATTTTCAATTGTGGGAATATATATATCGTGGTATGTGATTTCATATTACACATATGGATTGCAATGTGTGATTTATATTCACGTGAATATGAATTGTGATGCGTCATTTTAAATCTCGTGAATGTGACATTTTAAATCGTTTGAATGTTATTTTAAATTGTTTCTTTTCTAGGAGGTTAATTATAAAGTGGTTTACGAAACGTCAGAGAAAAAAATAGCAGAAAAGGAAAACAAAATGTTATTCTGGGGGAAAAAATTATAATTTTTGAGTTTGTGCTCCTATTAATGAAAAAAAAAAGAACTTTTTTTTGACCTCTTAAAATTTAAAATATGAGCAGCAGTTTTTTCCTTGCCTTGATCAGATGGAAGTGAAACCATTCTTAATTTTCTAAAAAAAAATTAAAAAGAGGAAAAAACTCATCTGTTCTAAAGGCTATTAGATCTTATCATTTGAGCATTAGTAAACTTTACATTTCACATTTCCTTTCTGAAATATGTTTAACTATATGAATGGCAAAATAAGTGTAAACGAAAACAAACTTCCTAAAACTACCCAAAATTTATATTAATTTAACTCTTAAAAATCAAATTAAACAAATATTTAAATGTATTTTTGTCTTAACTTTCGGTAATCGAACACATGTTAAGCTTAAGCTCTCTCAAGCTGTAGGTTAAGGTTTGTAGGGCTAAAAATTATACAAATACACTAACCAAATGTTATCACTATGGCATTCAAAATGTACTACATGTTTCTTAGAATTCTCGAACAACTAACATATAAATTAAAATCATGATATGTAAAATAAAAAATTGTAGAAGTGAGTAGTTGATAAAATACCTGGCAATTTCTTTGCTCGGAAAGAGGCATTAGTAATTGCTCGTGTAACAGTACTAACAACTGTTGTTGGAGATAAAGCAATACTTATACCCATTGGACCATCACAAGGCTGGCCTGATGGATTTGTTTTTAGAGAATGGCGGATGGCGTTTGTTACCTGAAATACCACAAAAGAATTAATTTCAGGGTTAGTAATTTATAACATTTAAGAATTCTTGAATAGACTTCCAAGAAAGATCTGAGTGGTATAATATTTCTAAATTTTTTTTAATAGTATTTCCAACCGCCAGAGTTACTGAAAGACCTCTACACCACAAAAGGGGAGGATCAAATGAGAACATAAAGAAAAGAAAATCATGTCGGGCATTGTGAGAAAAGTTCATGAACTCAATAAGTCCCTTGCACGCCAGTAATAGTCGCACTAAGAGATGTCCTTTAGTGACGGGCAACGACAAAGGTGGTCAGCATCTATCGCTTTCTGTAGGTCACAAAGCGTGCAGAAAAGGGCTTGTACAACATGAATTCGATGAAGATGTTTAAGGAGACAGTCATGTCCAGTGTAAACTCGGTGACTGCTTTGCATCTTGACCACTCAGGAAGATCTTGGAGATTATTCCACCAGATCTTTCCAGAATTTCTCTCCATGATTTGGTTTAAAATGAGATCCTTAATGTTTTTCTTGATTAGGCACTAAGCATTGGCATAAGGGACAGCTTTCCTTGATGTTTGTAGAAAAGACATTTTTTTAAATATTGCAATTTCACAAGTATTCTAACACAATGTACCATGTATACTATTCCTATTATCAATATTGAATAATTATCTGCACCCTGAAAATCACATTTCAATATTTCATTTTATAACCGTTATTGAACAGCCGACCCAATTTTTGATTATACGACTACTAATGTTCAACTCCCTAGCCTTATAATTTTGAACCCAATCCAAAAGACAAGGGAACTCCTGGTTCAAATAATTTATATAAATTAAAATAACATCATGAGTATAATTGTAGTGTTCTCCAAAAGCGTTTTTAGAAGGGTGACCTTCCCTGCCCTTTGATCCCTATAAATGTACCCTCTTTGTAAAAATAATCCACCATCTCCATTTAAAGTAATTCGCTGTTTAAATAATAATTACACACTGGTAAAATTATCTGTGTTGACAGGTCTAATTCTGATTACTATTATAAATATTTATATTGTTAGGATTATTCTAAACTGGTTAAAGTTTCATACGCTNAAAATAACATACTAAAGTAATTCACTGTTCACTGTTAAAGCATGGGTGCCATCCCCTCTGCAGAGGATCAAAATTGTGATGGCATGTCTTCGGATCATCCTCCGGGATGTTTCCCAGACCGTCGCCAATAGCCCATTGTGCAGCTCTAGTGCGACGTAAATTAACAACAACAACAAATAATAATTACACAATGTTTAAATAATGATGACACACTGGTAAAATTATCTGTGTTGACAGGTCTAATTCTGATTACTATTATAAATATTTATATTGTTAGGATTATTCTAAACTGGTTAAAGTTTCATACGCTACTCTTTTTCTTTTGGAAGGAAGGGGTATATTAATGAATTTTTTAATTAATTTTAAAATTATTTTTTTAAATATAAATTTCCTTTTTTTTTAACGCAGTTAAATTTTCATTTTCACATAATTTTCAGTTTAAATTAAAGAAAAAAGCTTTCAAGTTGTTTATCAATTAATAATTTTTTTNGTTGTCTTATTTTCGGCAATACTATTATGAATAAATTTTGAAAATTCCAAAAGAGCTTTTTCTGTACTTTTGCCTTTAATAAATCCATGTTGATTAACAGAGAAAAAATTTGTATGTATTTTGATAATGAGTAAGAATAACTTTTCAAAATATACACATAAAATAATATAAGATTGTAATTTAAAAAATTGTTGAAGATCAAATTCAGTTATTAAATAATATTACACATTTGAATAAATTTTTAAAGTGTTCAGTGAGTGCCCTTTCAAAACTCAAAATGTCCTTTTCTGTGAGGAAGCAACCTGCTGTTTTTTATTCCTAGGGAGAACTCTTATTTATGAAGAAAATTATCAATCACAGTACAGAACCCGTTATCCAGAAATCAGAAAACCGGAAAACCAAAAAAAACGAAATTCGATAAATTTTCGCGCCATTTTTTTAAAAAAATGTTTTTTTCCTCATATGATTTTAGGATTTTTCCTTCTTTTTTGAAAGATTTTTACCTTACCATCATTTTGGAAATAATCATTCGTGTATTACTTCATCGTTTTTTCCTCTTTTTAAGATTATTTACAAATATATATATATATTTTTTTAGTTGGGTTTAACAATAAAAAAAAAATGCTTTTTGTAGCGATTCAGAAAACCGGGAAAATCAGTAATCTGGAATAGCGATGGTCCCGATCGTACCGGATAATTGGTTCCCTACTGTACTATGATATTACACTCATTATGGACAATGATAGACATTGAATGCAAATAATATTGTTGGTATCATCGATAACAATGATTATCAAACTCAATATTATTTATAACTAGTCTTGATAAATTTTATTTGGGATATAAAAATATTGAGATAATAAAATGAAACAGTGCCAGTAATAATATCTGATGCGCCCACCGGACTGTGTAGGGGACAGTGAACTAGCCTTGCATCAGAAAGGTTCTGGGTTTGAATCCCGGGCAAGGCATGGGTGTTCTTTCATTCTCTGTACTATGCGTTCTTACTGAGGGAGCAACATTGGTTTGCCTAATATGGTGGTCCTGAAAGAGTGGCCAACAAATCTACTCTGTAATTGTCTGAATTAACAAAATGTTAAAACAGGTGGCATTGGAAATAATAAAAAATATCTGATGCAAGAAATAAGAAAAAGGATACAAAATTAAGACACTTCTACAATAACATACAGGGTAATACAAAATTTGACTAATAAATTCAGAGGGCCTCACCTTGAACAATTCTTGTTAATAATTAATCAAATAAAACTTTAGTTAATAAATTTGTGTCAACTTTTATAGTTAGTCAACCTGCATGAGGTTTTAGAGATTTTGAGCATCTCAACATTATTTGTGACATCATGTTCTATGATACGTTTTTATTCACTTGATGCCTTTTATCGCCATCCTGAATTTGTTGGAAGAATTTCGGAACACCATATATAATATGCATTTTTGGAAAATATGTGATCAGAGCTTACCAGGAGCACATCGGATAACATTTCTTGAGTAGCTCTAGAATGTAATTCATCCAGTGTTTGCAGGCCAATTGATGCCAATCCATTGAATCTAAAATTAAATGAATTTTTAAACATTTATATTTGGTTTGAAAAGAATGATATAGAATAATACTTTTAATCAACTAATTTTTATCATATTTCAAAAACTAGCGACAAGAAACAAAAATAAGACTTTATTTTCAAATTCTTCTTTTTTCTACTAAAACAAATATTCTAATAAAGCAGGGTGATATAAGTAAGGCATTCCCGTAACAACTCGTTGAGGGCCAAGGAGGTTAAGAACTCCCAATTTTGCGACCAATAGCATGATTGTGGCGATGTGGTCAGTGATGAGCACAAGCCATCTTTACTTCCCAGACAAGCTGATACCCATTACACTGAAGCTAGGAGGACTTCTAGTCGCTACTGGGTATCGAACCCTAGTTCTTCACAATGACAGTTGAATGCCTTAACCACTGAGCCATCTCTGGATGATATAACTATATAACTTTATCCCACCTTTATTCTCACAACTGTGCAACTTATTACAACATTTTATTAGAAAAGTTACAGGGAAAATTTAAACTTTACAATTTCAAAACTTACACACTAAGATGGAACTTCCCTAATGTTTGGCGGAAAACTTAAATTACATTTTTTCCTTCAAAATTAGTTATTATATTGCAATTTTTTTTAATTTGCTGTTAAAGACAACATTCAAAGCAAGGAAACTTCAACTGAATGAGACATTACAAGCATTTTTCTATTTATCTTCCATTTGTTTAACACCTAGTATCATCTCCAGTAGCAGAATTTATGGTGTAAATCAGCAGTCCAAATTTATTAATGCTTTTAATATAAGTCCAAATTTCTCTGTGACCTCAATGCAGTCAGACAGACATTATTGTACAAAATATAACTTAAACTAACATGCATGTGGCGAAATTTACAAATATATGGTCCTTACAAATTATGGATAAAACCTATAATTTGTTTAAATTGAATTTTATGTAATGATACTTTTTATATTTTATATCCGGCGTTGAACAGCCGACCCAATTTTTGGGTTTACGACTACTAATGTTCAACTCCGTAGCCTATTAATTTTGAACCAATCCAGAAGACAAGGAAACTCCTGGATCAGTACCCCCAGAGGTATTGATTTGTTATGGGAACATGGAGGACTTTGCAACTCAACGTGCATCAGTCACTATTTACTACACAGTCTTCAGCCAGCGGAGATCGAACCCACGAACTCTTAGACATGGGCCCAGCGCCTACCGATCAGGCTATCCCAGCCTTTATATAACGATACTCAAATAAATGCAATAAATCCCAATACAGTTAAGTTTGTAATCAAGTAACAAAAAAAAATTTTTACTTAACTTTTTGTTCTTCATGGCATTATCATAATTCAGTTTTTAAATTTTTACATGAAACAAGTTTAGAGATATTTAAAAAAAGTAGCTTTAACGATTTTCCACCATTTATTTGTTGGCTTTTTAACAATCAAAAAAAAACTTAGATGATAAATAATCTGCAGATGCTGTAATAATTTGCACGCCGTGCTGGATGGTTTCTGCTACCAAGGTTTCATCTGTACAAATGTAGGTTTTATGTACATTTTTAATAGACGAAAATCAATTTTCTACATTTCTTATGGTACACATTAACAAAACAATTATTTTGTTTGTGTAAAACCGCAATTTAATTTCACTAATGAAAATGTAACAGATGTCAAAAGACAATAGTTTAAATGATAAGAAATCCATAATAAGTGAAGTTTGTAAATTAGTATATCATTTTTTATCATATGTTTTATTGTGTTCAGCTATAAATTTCACTAAGAAATTAATTTTTCATCTCACAATTTTGAAACCAAATTTATTTAACTAAGTTGTAATAGAGTTCAATTCCTTACATTATTTAGACATGCAAATGCACTATATCTTGTTAATTTTATTTAAAAGCTTCTTAAAGTGCATAAGCAATACATTTTTATTAGTTTATTACAAAACATTTATTAAGAGTTTATTGATATTCTATTCATTTCCTAGCATTATTTCAGATAATTTGGAAATGAAAAATATGCTAAAATTTGTTTCTTCTGGGTTTCAAACATTATGATATAAAAGTAGATAATTTTTTTTTTGTAAAATTTCTATACTATTTGTATAATGTTTTTAAGAGCTGAGAAGAGAATATTTCCATTGAATCCTTAATCCGCTAAAATAAAAAAATTAATAAAAAAACAGATATGTAACTAATGGTACTCTCTCTTCAAAGTGCAAAATTATTTTATATTGTATAGAAAAATAAATGATCATTACAGAAATTTAATATCAATCATTTCAGACAAAAACAATAAATCAAACTTTTGTTATAGAGTTAGATTATAGAATAAAGGCTTAAAAATAGCATAGTAATGTAAATAATTTAAAATAAAATTAAGTTTTTTGATTTTTGTAATTTTTAGTAAACTGTATAAGCATTTTTTGTAGCAATAAAACTCCATAGAAACATAGTATCTACTAATTAATAAAAAATATAGAAAAATAACCAATTTCAAATGTAACTAAAAATTTATCATATTCACAAAAACATAATAGATTAACCTATTAAGTGATAGTTTATAAACAGAAACCATGCTAAGGAAAGATAATTTTACATTAAAAAGAGTGTAAACTTACGTAGCAAAGTACACTGCATGAACGATTTCCAGAAGAAAAGATGAAGATAGAGGAATCCTAGCAATTGGACGAGGATGGGGATTATTATAACTACTTGAAGACTCACCAGCATAATTAGGTCTATTTGTTCTATTAAAACCTTGTTTAACAATTCTGAAAAATTAAATTATAAATTATGTTGTTTTTAACATGAACAAGATGCATACGATGCTTAAAATATTTGAACAGGGGTAGCAGAAGTAAAAATAAAACACCAATTTAGCAAACTCATAAGCTCCACAATATTTTAAAAACCTCAACGATAAAATCAATCAATCATGGGAAGTTCAAGGTCATTGTACGTACCACCTTAGTAATGTGCCTGACTTGTACTTCCACCTTTTATACCTTTGAAGATTTTCTGTGATAGCAGACCTAGCCTTCTCTTAAAATTTTATAAACATGGTTGAACAGTCGACCCAATATTAGGTTTATGATTACTAATGTTCAACTCCGTATCCTTGTTATTTTGCACCCAATCCAGAAGACAAGGGAACTCTCAGATCAAGTATTACAACAGCAGGGTTCCTACACTATTTTAAGAAAACAATATCCTGACTTTTGCAGGTTTTTCCTGACCTTTTAAAATAAAATTCCTGACCCGCCGTTTCCCACTCCAACAAAATTTTTAACATTGCAGTTTCAATTAGTAATAATATGCTACTAAGTCATAACTATCATATATTGAATAGTATAAACACTTATATATTAAANGAGTTTATTGATATCCTATTCATTTCCTAGCATTATTTCAGACAATTTGGAAATGAAAAATATGCTAAAATTTGTTTCTTCTGGGTTTCAAACATTATGATATAAAAGTAGATAATTTTTTTTTTGTAAAATTTCTATACTATTTGTATAATGTTTTTAAGAGCTGAGAAGAGAATATTTCCATTGAATCCTTAATCCGCTAAAATAAAAATTTAAAAAAAAAAAAAAAAAAACAGATTTGTAACTAATGGTACTCTCTCTTCAAAGTGCAAAATTATTTTATATTATACAGAAAAATAAATGATCATTACAGAAATTTAATATCAATCATTTCAGACAAAAACAATAAATCAAACTTTTGTTATAGAGTTAGATTATAGAATAAAGGCTTAAAAATAGCATAGTAATGTAAATAATTTAAAATAAAATTAAGTTTTTTGATAATTGTAATTTTTAGTAAACTGTATAAGCATTTTTTGTAGCAATAAAACTCCATAGAAACATAGTATCTACTAATTAATAAAAAATATAGAAAAATAACCAATTTCAAATGTAACTAAAAATTTATCATATTCACAAAAACATAATAGATTAACCTATTAAGTGATAGTTTATAAACAGAAACCATGCTAAGGAAAGATAATTTTACATTAAAAAGAGTGTAAACTTACGTAGCAAAGTACACTGCATGAACGATTTCCAGAAGAAAAGATGAAGATAGAGGAATCCTAGCAATTGGACGAGGATGGGGATTATTATAACTACTTGAAGATTCACCAGCATAATTAGGTCTATTTGTTCTATTAAAACCTTGTTTAACAATTCTGAAAAATTAAATTATAAATTATGTTGTTTTTAACATGAACAAAATGCATACGATGCTTAAAATATTTGAAAAGGGGTAGCAACGCTCTATCTGCTGAGCCACCATGGCTTAACAGATCGAGCCTTATCCTTATATTAATGTGTCATTTGTGTAAGGAACAAATTATTAAGGATTGTCTCAGTATTAGAATTTTGTACTATTAGCTTGTCTGCCAACTACTATTCTTTTTGCAAAATATTTTATAGAGTGATAGACATTTAAAAACCAAAGCTTTTACAATTTTTGGTAAGTTTGCCAACATTTTAATAAACTCACCCTGAGCAATAAATCGATGTATCACGAAATATCCATCTAACACATACACCGGCAAGCTGATCTAAGGACTTTTGGTTCAGGCGATGCATCAGAAATCTGATTTAAGCCGCCAGTATAAGCTCGCGGTTTAACGATATAACATAAGAGGATCCTTTCTTACGCTAACGCTGTCACCGTGCTGACGAAGACTATTTTGATTTTGTCTAGCTGCAGCGATGTTAATAACGTCTAGCGTCGAAGATGATGTTAGTTTCGCTGTGTTGAATGACAAAGAGCGAACTAAATCAGAACTCCCAGTTTTGTGCAAGGATCAGAGCTGAAATATAGAAATGTTATGCATAGTTTCTTAATGCGCTATTTTTGTTTTTGGTATTTTACATTTATTGAAGATTATTTTCAGCTGGACTTACGTTATTTTGCGCTCGCTGTGCATTTTATTTTGTACATTTTATTTTGTCGTTTCTTGTAAATTATTTTCAGTGAGACTTTTGTTGCTTAGCAATCGTTTTAATGTGGATTATTTTGTCACTTTTTTTTTTTCTGTCAGGATTTAATGATTCTTGTCAATTATTTTTAGTAGACCTTGTTTCAACAAAAATTTTTGTTTTCAACTCAATCTTCTATTAATGAAAAGAAAATATCAATAAAAAAAAAGACTCTTCATTGATTTTCTTTAAATATTGTTTTACATCTTAAGCGATTCAATTTAATAGTTGTATTTTGTATTTAACTTTGTAATAAAAAGTTAGTTTCTTTTAAAATTTATTTAATGCACATAAGTATAATAATTTGATCTTTTTAAATTTGGCTATTAGTTAAAACAAATATTTATTTTAATTGAATAAAAAGTTAAGCAATGCTTCGATGATTTTTAATAATTTAACAATAGTTATTAATTAAAAAATTTATTAAAAAATTTATATGGCATAAACTAGACTAAAATATAACTTGAAGGTATTTACCTAGAGCACATTTTGCACACAGACATATGTGAAAACGTTGACATGGTTCCAATATGGAGGTTATAAAGCCACATCAAGACAGTCATAACATGAAGTCTATTGAAATATAATGATTTAACATTAATACATTTAAATATAATAATTAAGCAAACTAATGCAAGAAAAAAATTTATAATTATAAATTTCAATTGAATAATAAATCCTATTTTTCAGATCAACTATAAATACTACAACATAATTATGGAAACAAAACAACATTCCAAAAGATTTTTCACCAATTGATAATTACTAATAATAGTTGCAAGAACATAATCTGTTAATAATTGAAAAAATATGAAACTACAAGAAATTGAAACAATACAAAATTTCTTCATACTTAAAATTGTTTAAAATTTAAAAAGCGCAAAGTGTGTAGAACAATTCATGTATTATGCAGTAAGCAATAAAGAACATAACAGATAGTATCATTAATGCTCTCTATTGATGAATACAAAATGTAACTACTAATTTAAATATATTTTAGGGTTAACTGTTTCGAAAAACATTAATTCTTGATGCGGCAACTTCTGTTAACAATCAATTTTTCGAGTAACAGAGGGTGATCGACCTGCATATATATACACTTGTAAAGTATATATATATACATATATATAAATAGAATGAATTGGATTGCCCACGTGATTCGAATGAGTGACGACAACACAATAAAAAAGATACTGCTTTTTAGACCCACTGGAAAAAGAAAGCGGGGAAGGCCGCGGTTGAGATGGGTTGACTCAGTGGAGTCTGATTTTCTCGGAATTAATGAAAAAAATTGCAGATCAAAGATAAATCGGAAGTCGTCATGGAGAAATCTTCAGAGGAAGGAAGGCATTGGCTCACATTGGGCTGTCTGGCCAACTATGATGATGATGATGATATATACATACATACGCACATATATATACACACATATATATGTACAAATTAATATGAAAATAGTTAAACAAACCATTTAAACACTGAGCCTTAGGATAAAATTATACTAAAATTTCTCAGATTAGCACTACTTTCCAAATGAATAATTTGTGGAAAACTGATTTTTTAAAGAGAAAAAATACAAATACACAAATTTAGCATGAAAATTACTAAACAGGCCTATCAAACATAGACCTTCTGAGAAAATTTATACTAAAATTTCCCTGCTTAGTACTATTTTTACATTAGATAATTCGTGAAAAACTTTTTTTTTAATTTTTTTTACTTGAAAGCCATTAGCATACAGTGCAAAAATAAATTTTGAACTTCTCAGGGGGTTAAACAGAGAATAAAATTTTATAAAGTCATATACAAAATCCATACAATAAGGTTAGCCAGAACTAATTTTGAAGGAAAATTTAACTAATAACAGTGCATTGAAAGTTTGATATATATTTGAACAGTAAATTATCAAAAAATACTTTTAGATTTTTCATGCAAATAATAAACACTATCCTTCCAGAAACTTTCGTTAAAAAAATACTTCTAAGTAAGTTTTTATTTTAAGTAAAAAATTTAAGGCTTTTCAATTAAAAGGAATTTTGTAATAACTTAAACAGCTGGAAATCTGAGAGCAAGAGGCCTAGTTAAAAATAAATGGAGTAAAAAATTTCAGCCAAGCTGCAACAATTACATAAATTGATATAAACCTTTAAAATCCTTTTTTTATCTATCTTTAATTTGCCAAAATCGAGCAACAGTTTTTTAAATTTCGTCTTTGTCTCTTAGAAGACCCAGAGATTCTAAATGTTTTACACAAAGTAAGGAGAAAGACTATGTTTTATAGAAAATTTTTGAGATCTATAAATAGTGAGATCTAGAAGACTGACCTGATTCTACATCTGTTGAAAAAATTATATATAAAATAAATCATTTTTTCTTTTCATGAACTTGTTAACTCTTGCTTTGAACACTTTTTTTTAATTTGGTTTATTTTTGGAATAGTACGACTGTATTAGTATTATAATAATGCTTTATGTTAGATAAACATTTCATTAAAAAAAAATTCAACCACCATACACAGCACACCACATTGCAGAAAGTTTTGGGGCCAAAATCTGTGGTTACAGAAAGTTTTTAATTTCATGCAAAGTGTACAATGCGCAAAAAATAAAAGAAACATTCTGAATGACTTGTGATATAATGATTGGATTTTCATGTACTAGCATTCAATCATAATAGTTTAAGAGGGTCACCTGAAATTTCTCAATTTAGAAATTCAAACAAACATTAAATCTGTAAAAATTAAAATATGTGTGTAACACACATTTATATTTTAATTTTTACAAAACACACATATATATTTTAATTTTTACAGATTTAATGTTTGTTTGAATTTCTAAATTAGATAAAAGCAAATTTGGCTTTAGCAGTTTTATGCGCTTTTCCAGTTTGATTTAATGTTTTAATAGTTTATTTACTTCTTTGTCTCCTTTTTTGCTTTTGTAAATTGAATTCACTTTCTGAAATTTCTTAATTAATACAGACAATATATCTGAAATTATGAAAGAAGACCCAGAAAGGTATTTTTAATTTTGCATGGCAAAATACAATTTTGAACAAAACTGGTCAAATAGTTTCCAAGAAATCGAATTTTAAAAAAGTCAGATATTTAAAATTTGATTTCTCAGGAATTATTTCACCGATTTGGTTCAATTTTCATATTTTATCATAAAAAATAACATTCTTTAAATTGATGTAAAATTAGTATACCTTACATTTCAAAAATTTTTCCACTATTGCTTAATAAAATAAATAACTAATAAAAATTATTTTTTACACTAAATCATCTTCAGATACACAAATTTTAATTTGCTTAAAAAATTCTCCAGATATAGCAAAACACAAAATTAACTACATGGGGTTTAACTAGCGATCACTCTCCTGATCAAACTATTGGGACCATATTTCCCAGATTGTGGAAACCCCATATAAACCCCTCATCATTTATGTTTTATTTTTCAAATAACATTACAATACTGTTTAAACATTAAGGTCAAATAAAATTCAGAACTGTTCTTTATAAAATTTGATAGAAAAGGGGAAGAAAGAATAGAAATACATAAATGCTAAAATGTGAAAAAAAGTTGGTTTTAAAAAAAAAAAATGGTTTTAAAACTCAAGGCACATAAAAATATTATGAATTATAATTTAGATCACAAATAGTAATTTTTATTACAATGGATTCTATTAAAATTTTTATTACATCTATTCCGAACTAATTTTTATTACAATGGAAGTTCAGATGCTATCTAAATAAAGATTACTTCGAATTCAACAGAACTTATCAAAAAATTCAACAACATTTATACAAAGTTCTGTTAAATTCTAAGTAATCTTTATTTAGAAAGACGCATGATTTTATAAGAAATATGCATGAAAAAAATAAATACCTGTTGCTGGCATTAATTTTCTCAACTTCAGAATGAGCACCAACTTTTATCGTTCGAGTTTCAGCATATTCTAATCTAGATAATGCCCTCTCTGATAGGACAGTGTGAGACAAGCTCATAGGCTAAAATAATAATTCAACCATTCATTAAATAGCAGCAAAAAAAAAAGAAGGGTAAAATCTTAAAATATCTAAATTGTCTTTAAAAACTTAATATGAAAAAACTCATGAATTTAGGAGAATACGGATGAAATACATATACAGTGAAACCTCCTGTTATGGACACTCCTGCAAAACTGACGCCTCTCAATACGGACATATTTTCAATTCCCCGGGAATTTTCTATGAATAAACCATTATGTATGTTCTCCGCAAAGCGGACACTCATTTTTGCCCTGAAACGTTATTTTCTATCTCTTCAAACCGGACATACTTTTTCTAAGTTTGAAAAAAAGCTATTTCGGTTTTAAATTGCAAGGGAAAAAATGCAACTTTTCGTCATTTTAAAAACATGTAAATTTTTTGCCTTAATCATAACTAAAAATATTGTTAAGCTATTTCAATACTGAAGAGTTAGTCTTTCTCCTGTCATCTTTGTAAACAAAGGAGTAAAAATTATACTGTTCTCTTGAAATAATTCGGACAGCGGCATCTTTTAATCTTTTCACCTGGACGGCACAGGTTATGAGTCCCCTCGAGTTGAAATGACATCTTAAATGCTCTCAATGCTTCTTCCCCATTGAAATATTTTTAAATTTTGTAATCAATTTGAAGACTATATTTAACACAGCTGGGGTAAAAAAGAGAACAGAAATATAATCTTCGATATGTTCATATAAATGAAACACTTATTTAGACACTTGATAGCTGATCAATTGTGAATAATCAGCTGAATAGGTCCTAATGACTTAACTGTGAATCATGGGAGGTTTACTTTCAAGAAGGTATTAAAAATGTTCCCTATCAAATGAAAGGTTGGTGTAAGGGGATGTAAACCTAATAATTGAAATCGACTGAGGACTGAAAGCTCTAATTCGGTATCATATGTCTGAATTGAGTATCTATGCTAATAGGAAAATTGTATTCATTTATCTGTAGCTACATCTAGAATTATGTATTTATATCAAACTTCTCAATATATATATAAATATTAATATATTAATTTTATCTTTCTTAAAGTTTAAATAAATATCCTTGTAGTTAGTTATTGTAAATTATTTAATTATTTTGACATCTTTGAAAATATTCTAAAAACAACAGTGTTAAACTTCGTTATTAGGGCATCCTTCCCGTAAGCGGACAACTTTCACATACGGACAATTTTTTTGGTCCCTTGAATGTCCGCTTAACGGAGGTTTTACTGTATATACTTCAGTCAAATGTTACATCAATGACACACTGTTTCAATTTATCAAAACATAGTAAGTTAATATTTTACTTCATGATAAATGGAAGGCTTAGACAGCAGTGGTATTCTGAAAGACAAGCATGCAGATTTCCCAGATGCATCAATTACTTCCTGTGAAAAAGAATCAAAAGCGAATTTCTAAAAGTTTAATGAACAATAAAGAAAATAGCAAATAAATACATGTCTTACTAGGTTATAGATTCCAAGTAGAACAATTTCAACACATCGAACATTCTAGAAGAAATAAAAAAAAATTACAATATAAAATTCAACTTAACTAAATCATTTACAGGTTGTAAAACAAGTGAATTATATAAAACAGATTATGAAGAAATGTATAATTGTGAAACAATATACTTTTCGGTTTCCTTTTGCTATGCTACTTAAGTACAGGCCTATGAGACAAGGTATATATTGACGAGCGAAGGTCTGAAGAGTTTCTTCTCTCGATCGATAGAAACTGAAGAACTGGTGGCACACTGCTTCCAAGAACTGCAAAATAAAGACTCAATTTTATACTTCTATCAGCAACACCCCCACCGAAAAAAAAATACTAACATAAATTCATAAATATTTCTATTGACTAAAGTCAAATCCACTTTTCGTTAAACACACACAAACTTAGTTTTTCTTTTACCTTAAATTTCAATAATATACTATACATGAGACCTTCAAAATAAGAAGCATTTTTTATTTTGAAGGTCTTTGCATAGCTAAGAAAAAAAGAAAAGAAAAAGAAAGGGGGGAAGCATTTTACGTATACAGATTAAATAAATGTTTTGCTAGTTTGTGAAGTTGGTTTGTTGATGAGATTGAAGTTCGTCAATTGATTAATAGTTCATGAATCAATAACATCAGGTTAAAGAAGATTATGTGGGGCAATAGTGCAATTGAAAATAAAATACCTTCATATGCATTGAACAAAAAGAAATTAATTAAGAGGTCATTTTAAAATTTAAAATTATTATTCTTATTTTTCTTCTTGTTAAGGCAGTCAGAAATTATCCATTTGCCGCAGTTTTCCAATGGTTGATTCCAATTTCCTGGAACATTTTCTCAATTATATAAAGCCATCGATGTTTGGTCTGGATCTGGTTCATTTCATCGATAATCATTTCATTGACAGGCCATTTCCTCGACAGGCCATTTCCTCGACAGATCATTTCATCGACTAATTTGTTCGTCGCCAGGGTCATTTCATTGACATGGTCACTTCGGCAGGGGGGTTATTTTACCGTCAGAGTTACTTTGTTGATAAGAACATTTTGTTGATAGTGTCATGCGTAATTTTGAAACTATTTTAGAGATTTAATCTAAATATTTTCATTATTAATTAGAAAAATACTATTATTTAATTTTTATAGTCAGGCAAAATTCTTTATTGCTGTTTATTGTTTTAATTGCAACAAAATAAGCATTTTTTTCTTTTAAAAAATTTACATCAACCCTTCCTTTAGTCGTACATACAGTCAAATGTATATATTTAAAAAATCAAGTTTGTTTGTCATAAAAAATAGATTTATAAAAATTTTCATACATAACAAAAACCACAAGGGTAAAATTTCACAATAAACTTCTATCAACATTTAAAATAGCACTTTCTTCGTTTTGGTGACAAAATTTAACATTTCTTTTTCTCTTTTAGTACACTTATCAAACATGATGTTTAAAAACATTTGAATTTCAAATTACACTTTTGAAAAGGACTCTCCTTAGTGCTCTCCTTTAAAAAATATACTCTCATTGCAAATTTTATTAATTTAAATAAGTTTGTATTCTCTGGCAAATCGAAAAGAAAACATTTTAATATTTGGGTAAAAAAATAAGTTTGCTAAACTTATTTTTAATTAAACATTAATGAGAATAAAATCAGATGCATATGGACAACTCTCCTCAATGATAAACTTAAAAGTCAATTTATTTGTTATACCGTAATTATTTGCATTTTTATTTCTAAATGTTCTAAATCATAAAAACCAATTAGACAGGTTTCTTCCCCTCTGATTTTGAACTCACAGAATAATTTTTTTATACAATCATTTCGATTGCATCGCATGCCGAGGATGTGGAACTTATAAATGTTTGGGGAACACCTAGGATAAAATAAAACTATTTAACATTAAAACATTTTATACAATTAATTAAATAAGAAATAAAATGAACTGGAAATGGGAGAACAAGTTTTTTGTTTCGAATAATATTTCATTTAAATTTCACAAAAGTACGTACAGAATTGTCAGAAACTTGACAAAGACATGAGGAAGAGGGTTATAACAAATTTTTCATAAATAATATTTGCCAATATGTCTGCCAATATTTTAAAAAATTACCTGATAAATTTTAAAAACTTCTCTCATCTCTGCAAAAGAAAGGTCAATATTTATACAAATACTAAATTTAAAAAAAATGTGTTCATTTCATTTTTGTAATAGCTAAATTTTGTAATCACAAAACTGATATAATTTAACAAAAATATCAGTACATTTAATATCAAGTGTCTTATTAATTTGAAATTCTAAAAAAATAATTATAATAATAATAAACTCATTTTTCTGTAATTGCACAAAATGATAAACCTCAAAATATTTAATGCTAAACAGCCTCCTAAATCAAATGTCTTAATTTAATTGGTAATGAAACCAAAAAATTTATAATTTTCTTTCAAATTTTGCAACAAATAATTTTTTCACACATCAGAATTCTATTTGAAAAAGTGTTTACCATCAACAGCACAGTATGATGAAATTCACAGTAAAAAGATATAAATAATCAAACTAATGATCTGCATGTTAATCATAAGTAATACTTACATCTTCATGATACCTTTTTTCTTCCAAGATTGTAAAAATTGCTTGAATCAACTCATTATTCTGGGAAGTTGTACAACCAAAACTATGGATTTCTGGAGTGTGTAAGGACTAGAAAGGAAGTGGGAGAAATAAATATGAAAGAGTTCAATATCATAAGAAGAAAAAAATTTAACACTGAAGAGCAAAAATTGAAACAGAAAGTCTTTATTGAAAAACAAAGAGTTAGAAACAAAACTTCTCTAAAAGCTAGAGAGATTCATACAGTTGAGCTGGAATTTTTAGCTTTTTTCAGATTTTCATGACCCATAATTGGATCATCCCTAGTAAAAGAAAGTTTCTAATAATATATATTGAATATTGAGAATAGTAACATCAATACAAGCAAAATATGATAAAGACTATATAGCCATGTCATCAAAACAAGAATGCAGATTAAAATCCTTCAATCATTTTGTTATAGCCACATTGTTTTGCACAAATAAGCATTGATTGATGGAGTAAATGCAGAACATTATTATAATAATTTAGGATTTTCTATTTTTTTTCACTTGCTTTGATAACATTTGCATAACTGCCAGCATGGATGGGAAAAAATCCAGTAGATTTTACAAAATAATATAAATTGCATGATAACTGTTGCATCATGTTCTAAATATTTTAGACATAATGATTTTTATAGTCATCAAAATAGAAAAACTGTAATATTTTCCAGTCATTAAACATACTTGAAATGTTATGTGTATTATGTTTACTCATAATCATAACATTGGCATAGCTGCCAACATGGATAGGAAAAAATCAAGTAGATTTAGCGAAATAATATAAATTTCATGATAATTGTTGCATCATGTACTAAATATTTTAGACATAGAGATTTTTATAGTCATCAAAATAGAAAAACTGCAATATTTTCCAGTCATTAAACATACTTGAAATGTTATGTGTATTATGTTTACTCATAATCATAACATTGGCATAGCTGCCAACATGGATAGGAAAAAATCCAGTAGATTTTGCGAAATAATATAAATTTCATGATAATTGTTGCATCATGTACTAAATATTTTAAATATAGGGAATTTTATAGTCATCAAAATAGAAAAACTGCAATATTTTCCAGTTATGATTGACATTAAACATACATGAAATGTTATGTATTATGTTCCTACTTATAATTTTGAATATAAATAGGCATCAAAGATAGTTAAAAGATTTTTTTAATTAATTTAAAAAGAGAGTTCTGAATAAAAATAAACTGAATATTTCATAACTAAAAAAGTTTTGAAATGATTTTTAAAAATTAGGTTCGCTTCATTATGTATTAGTTATACTTATTTAAAAATTCAAGTAATCTGAAAAAAAATTCTTTTTCAATAGGGATTTCTTAGAAAACTCACTCTATTTTAAGAAATTTTCTGAAATATACAAAGATCAGGAGAATTTTAATTAGACCAGTAGAAACTGGCCATAGCCAGCAGTCTACTGAAAAATTCAGTAGAGTTGACAGCTGTGCATTAATCAGTTTTATTTGAATTTTGGCAATTTTTGAAAAAAAGAATCTTAGGGACGTTTAACAGGTATCTTACAGTACTTCTAATTACATTTTTACATGCTAACATATAACATATAAGAGGAGTTCTAGTAGAAGCGTAAAAAAGTAAAACAAATACAAAGTACTCACNTAGGGATTTTTATAGTCATCAAAATAGAAAAACTGCAATATTTTCCAGTTATGATTGACATTAAACATACATGAAATGTTATGTATTATGTTCCTACTTATAATTTTGAATATTAATAGGCATCAAAGATAGTTAAAAGATTTTTTTAATTAATTTAGAAAGAGAGTTCTGAATAAAAATAAACTGAATATTTCAAAACTAAAAAAGTTTTGAAATGATTTTTAAAAATGAGGTTCGTTTCATTATGTATTAGTTATACTTATTTAAATATTCAAGTAATCTGAACAAAAATTCTTTTTCAATAGGGATTTCTTAGAAAACTTACTCAATTTTAAGAAATTTTCTAACATATACAAAGATCAGGAGAATTTTAATTAGACCAGTAGAAACTGGTCATAGCCAGCAGTCTACTGAAAAATTCAGTAGAGTTGGCAACTGTGCATTTGTCTGTTTTATTGGAATTTCGGCAATTTTTGCAAAAAAGAATCTTAGGGACAATGAACAGGTATCTTACAGTATTTCTAATTAAATTTTTACATGCTAGTTCAAACATATAAGAGGAGTTCTAGTAGAAGTGTAAAAAAGTAAAACAAATAAAGTACTCACTTTATATTCAGCAATCCAGTCACGGACAAGTGTCTCCGCCATCCCTCCATCAGCACCATCCCAGATAAATACTAAAATGAAATTTACAAACAATTAGAGCAAAATTATGGTGGTGAACAGCAGCAATTCAGTTAATTATATACAGTTAAGTATGAGAACTGATTATGTACAATTAGAGAGAACTTTAAAGTAAGGAAATTTTTAACTTAATAATTTATTACACATATCATTATTATTTATAAAGACAACTGCTCAGGAAGAATGAACTGAAATTGATGAATATGCAAATAGCTATTGAGTAGAGACAGACTGAGATGGCGCAGTGCTTAAAGCACTGAAATGTCTTAGCCGTTGATCCTTAGTAATGGCAAACATTACCTCTAATTGTGTGGGAAACAACAAGCAACAAACGAGCCACCAAGAAGTAAAAAAATACATAAAAGTAAAAAATTTCCTTTGTCTCTCCGATTTTTAAGTGTCTCCCATTTTGTTTTAAAAAAATGCAATATTCCTAAATATTTTGTAGCTTTTATAGTATTAAATCTTGTTTATATGGGAGATGAATGAAATACTTTTTTGATTTAGAGTTTCAGTACTTATAAAAAAGTATAACTTAAGCTAAAACGTGTTTTGCCAAACATAATTTTAGCGACATACTAATATTAGCACACAAATATTTCATAATAAACCTTTGTTACTGGCTGCTGGTCAACAAATTTGGCATACACAGGGGTCTAAAAAAATTTAAAATAATTATAAGCCTAAATCAATTTTTAAAAGTCACACGTTATGGAATGGAAAGTAATACAATAGATTAAACTGTTCTAAAATATTAGGTGAGGCCGATGACTTTTAGATATCTTAGCCAGTGAGATTTATAGACTTCTGGTTGTACAAAAATTATATTTCTAGAAATTTTTTTAAAAAATTTCAATTCTTGAAACAAATTAAATTATTTTAAAGAATGAAAATGAGTCTGGGTTCGAGGTTCTAGAAGGATAAAGTTACAGAAACAGTTATGTGGCTTTTGACAAAATATTTCCATAAAAATTAACTAAAAGTAGATGTTAAGGACGAACGGAATTTTTAAATTTACGTAAAATACAAGAAATTTTTTCACTAAAACCGAAAATTTGGTAAATATCAGTTCAAAGAAAATAGAGCGGTAGTACCTAGTAATAGCCTTTTTTTTTTCAGCTGTCAACTTTCATACATTTTGCCAAAGACTTCATCCTAACGATACTTAATTTTTTGATTCTATAAATGTAATTACAATTATTTTAGACTATAATAAAAATTATTTTAGTCATCTTGTACTCAACAATTGCAGTTCTCTGTGGCTAATTATTTAGTCTGCTATCCACTAGACATCGCATTGCTACATTAGGTCACAATCCACTTTTACAAATAATATTCTAAATCCATTGAAAAAAGAAATTAATATTTGTTAAGGCATATTCGATTAGAGAAAGTATGTTTCTTTATCAGTTTTTTTACTTAATTTTTTTTTTTCTAAACTCAAACTTGAGTGAAAATTACTCTTACTACCTAGGGATATGCAGAGCAAAAGTGAGGACTAAGTTTAAACTCTTCTGCAGAGCATTCTATATATGAATTTTTTTTTTTTTTAAATTTCAAGCAAATTTTCAAAAGAGAATGCACATCCTAATTAATATACTACTTTCATATTTGAATGTTGTGTAGTTTGTTATGACAGATTTTTTTCAGAAATGTATTAGTCACGCTTATTACTACTTTTACAGACTAATATTAAAATTTAATTTCTTTTTGAATTTGAGTACTTTGATCTTTAAAAATAGTTTGCAAGCATTTTTTTACAGAGAAAAGCTATTAAAACTAAAATTTCTTAAAATTATAAAATACAATCTAAAATAACATAAAATAAATAGGATTGATTAAAGTACAGTATTTTTTAATTTTCTGCATTTTAATATTTTAAAGATCATTTATTATTTCTAAGATCTCAGCTTCTAAACAGTCTTCTGCAGGTCATTTAAATCCCTGATACAAGGGCAGCGATTAACCTCAGGTCTGCCCAACCAGTACATAAAAATCTGATCACACATCATTAAACAATAGCCAAATATCCAGCTTTTTTTTTTCAGAGCTTTAACTTTTAGGAGTCTTGGTAGGATAGGAATCCCACAATTTTAACCATGTCAGACAATGTGGACAGTGCCTAAACTGGTAACACTCTTATCAAATATTAACACCATAACTATGTTAATGACAACATTTCTGTCATGACAGATTTAATGTGCACCTTGCTGCATATACACTGGTTGTTTACATGGAATACATAGCACCTAAAGCAGGCCATCAGGATTATATTCGCAAAACTCTGAACCAGTGATGTGCGTAACACCTTAACTGACAGCAATAGAGCACTTAAAATCTAATCATTCAAATAGATGTTCTCCCTAGGAATAAAAAAGTGCCTCAGAGAAAAAAGTACTTTGAGTTTTGAAAGGGAACTCACTCAACACCATTAAAATTTATCAAAATGTGTAATATTATGTAATAGTAACTGAACTTGATTTTCAACTATTTTTACATCACCCTCTTACACTATTTTACGTGTCTGTTTCAAAAGTAATTATCTCATTATCGAAATAAAAGAAAAATTTATAGTTCATAAAAAATAATTAAAGGTATGTTAAAAGACTATTTTCAAAAAAATAAACTAAAAGAAATTTTAATTACTAAACAACTTCAAAGCATATTCCTTTAATTTAAGCTGGATATAATAAGAAAATGAGCATTTTAAGGTGCATTTATTTACAAAAAGGAATTTATTTAAAAAATAATTTTACATTTAAAATCATTTAATTCATTAATATATCACCTCCTAATAAAAATTTAAACAGTTGCGAATAATCCTAACAAAGTAAATAATTTAAGTAATCAGAAATAAACCTACAAACAAAGATAATTTTACTAGTGCATAATTATTATTTAAGCAGTGAATTATTTTTTTAAAAATATGGAATATGAATAAATAGGCAGAATTTTAAAAGGATGATGATACTTTCTTTTTTAAAAAAAAGGGGGGGCCCAAGAGGGCACATCAAAAGGCAGTTAGTTTAAATACGCTAAGAGGGAACACTGATGCTTGGGGACAAATGATTCAGATAATTCTGTCCTTAATAAAATTTCAAAAATAAATAAATACTCAAAAATATAATAATAGAAACTTATTTAAAAAGTTTTTATGTCACCTATTTCAACAGAACAAACCTAAGAAATCGTGGATTTTAATTTTTCCATGGATAAAAAAGTTTTTTCATACTGCTAATTTTTCTTCAGAAAAAACTTTGTTTACATTCAAACTTAGTATTGGGTAAGGTAAAATTATTTTTAAAAGATTCAAAAGTGCATGTAATTATAATGATATCCAGAATTTCTTGTTAATATTATGACATCATATACACTTAGGAGATTTTTGTGAGCTTTAACTTATATGACAAGACAACTAATTCATTAACACAGAAAAATGAATATTAATGCAAACGAGGAAAACATTACACAAAAATGCATAACTATGCAACTTTTTCATGTAATAATTAATAATCATAACACATTCCTGTAATAATCATAATTTCAACCAATAAGATAAAATTAAATGAATTTACGTAAAATAACATAACTTACGTTATTTATGCATATTAGTGAAAGTAAAAGCATGCAAAACAAGAATTAAGTAATAATTTAAAACTTAAATAGAATCTATTTAAAACAATGAATTCACGAGAACACTAACAAATTGAGACGAAAAATTATCAAGATTATTGAACTTAAATTGTAGATAGAAAATATTACAGGAATCTGATAAGATCTGATTTATAAACAAACACACAAAATCTATATTTTTTATACGCTAAGAACTAACTCAGTTTGTGAAAATTAAAAACATAAGGCAGACAGTTATTAAAACTATAGAAAGTTGGTTAATAAAAAGTTATGAAATAAAAGTGACACATATACTGAAAAGAGTATAAATGATTTTACGCAGTTTTCCTTGAAAATATGACAATTTTGAGTGAATTTTTTAAAGTAAGTTAAAAACAAAAATAAATATGAAAATTTCACAACTCTGTTAATAAATAAATATAAAATATATTCTCACATCATCTGAAGGTTAATATTTCTTCGCTCTATTTTGAAGTTAATATAAATCTCAGCAATACAGCCGAGAACGGACTCGAACGATTCCAGATTTCCTCCTATCGATGATTGTGAAAGTACAGAAGATTGAATAAAGATGTAGACGAAAAAAAAATTGGAAAAACGCGTCTTCTTCACTAACAAACTTTTTAATATTTATATTTTGTCTATAAAAAATTATCAAAGCTATCTAATTCGTTAAAAATAATTATTTTAACCTATGTTTGCTTGGCTTTAAAGTTGGTTTTGAAACAAACAACATTTTCAGAAATCTTTATTTTAGTTAATTCTGCAGAGGTCGCTGTTATCATCGTTGGTCCGCAGATGATTGACATAAACTGACATATTCTCATTTTAATAACTTTATTAGATTAACAACTTTTAAAAACGTATCTATGAGAGAAAACTTTGTCTTTAAATTTAAAATGTTTTTAAAAAATTGAAACAAAATTATAAAATTGCATTAAATCGTATCACAGTATATCATTGGATTTCGAAAATAACTGTGACGTAGTAGATATGTTTCTTTATTTAATTGTATTTTGATATCATTTAAAGTATCTCAGTAAAGCATATGAAGAAAAATTAAAAATTATTTAATTTTTAAATATTTTTGTTTTTATTTTTTTTATTCATGACAAGCAAAATAACATCAAAAATCATTGGAATTGTGACAGCAATGTATTGGTTTGATGACAATAAGAAACATAACTATTTTAGGTAAATAATACTAAAACAAATGTGTGAAAACCAATTAATATGTGTATACAAAAACGAAGTGGGTTAAAATTTAATATTTATCATTTAATGGAACAACATAATTTTATTTAACTAATGAAAAAATATTTAACTATTCAAAAACTATGAGCAATCAAAAACTATTATGTACAACGGAAATTACATTTATTTTATCAAGTTGATATATTTTTAAGAAAACTCGCTAAAATTTGAAAACGATATGAAGTCCGTCGGTATACAAAGAGTTGTTTTGTAAAAATGTTATATAAAATTTGCAAAGTGCGTAGAGTTCATTCCAAAATGCATCTGATTTTGTCGTTTTCTTATAAAGTTTATTTCACTCTTAGAAAAATGCTTTGGAATGTGTATTGTATATAATATAAAAATAGAAACAAAGAAATCAAATTTCTAAAAATTTTACTATGTTTTCTTTCAAAACAAATACTTTATAATTTACAACGAATTGATTGGTTCATAAAGTTCGATTGTTTAACCATAAATGAATTCCAATTGATTATTTAATAAAATCCTAATGATTTTAAATTTTGGAATTGAAAATCATTTAAAATACACATAGTATTAAAATACACAATTTTAATGTGAGCCAAATCTGTTAAATATTTCAGGTGAAATGAAAATTAAAAAAAAAAAAGTTGTACGTTTACATTTTTTAAAAGGAAGTACGTTCTGTACCCGCTTTTGTATGATAAATTATCCCTTACACTAATTCGTTAGCATATTTCAGACGTGCTCTTTAAGCCATTAAGATGCATCTGTAGTGCAAAAATCCAATAGATTGATTAGAAGTTATTTATGATGTTTCTTGTTTTATTTTGTCAACTTAATGGTTAATTGACTTCTTTGTAGATGCTTTCGACAAAATCAAGCGATATTACATTTAAATGTTTATTTTATAGCAATATTTTTGCACTAATTTTCCTACTCGTGTGATTAATTTAACTAATTTCACAAGCCCAAATCTTTGCTTAAATGTTCATAACGATAAATGCTTTTGAAGCATTTCTTAACGCAAAATATCGACCTGGTTTGTTCGCTTCAAAGCATAAAAAAAATGATAAATAAATTAAAATAATAATACTTCATTCAATGAAAGTTAATATCAGACATTGGGTAATAACTTTAAAAATGGTGTAAAACAAGCAAAAAATTACTTTAAATATTTCACAAAAACAAGGCCTATTTAATTAAATGCGGTCTCACCATTCTAGGGATGAAATACATTTTTTTTCTGTTGTGCGTGTTAATTGAAGAGTTTTATAGCTCATAAAATTCCTTCGTTCATAAAAATATCAATAAAGAAAACGAAAGCCATAAACAAGAGAGGAAAAATATAAGCAGGATCATTGCCTTTGAAAAAAATTGAAATTCCACAATAAGGTTAAAAGGAAAATAAAGAATAAAAGGAACTATCTATAAAATTTCAACAAAAAAATTTTAATTAAAATTATTATGTAAAATATTATTATAACAATTATAAAAACTCACACTTGTCTGGGAAAAAGTATATGACTTATAGCCAAAGTTATTTGATAGCATTTTATATCTCTAGCTATTTAATATTTACCGTCACTCATTTTTTGATTGTATACTTTATACAATTTTATTTTAAACTATTTTTTTTCTTGTTCACTTAACTAGTCCGTTTTTTCTCATGGTTATTTCAAAAATCCTTTATTTTTTATTTTAAAAGCAATTTATACTATGTTCTTCTTGATCTAAGGAATGAATAAAGGAAGGAAAGGAAGAAAGCAAATGAATGAATCACTGAATCGTAGAATCAATGAATGGGAAAATCAGTGTCAGTGAACTGCTGTATTAGTCCATCAACAAATATACAAGTCCTTAAAATTTTGCGATAGTGAATCAGTGAATGGTTGAACTAGTGAATTGACCAAGCAGTTAATGAGCAGTCCAAGGAATGGACATATTAATAAATTATAGAGTCAGCGATTCATCAGTAAATGGTGGAATCAGTGAATGGGGGGAATCAGTTAATGGTATTGACTAAATTGGAAATAGGTAAAACGCCTTAGGTTGTAAAAGCTATCTGCAATCTTTCTTTTTCCTTTTTTTTTTCCCCGCTTGTATATTTATAAGATATGGTAACCATTCGTACGATTACTTTTCCCACATTGCTTAAAGCTGCATTCTATATGGTGTAATAAAAGAAATATTCAAATACAAAAAATATTATTGGATGATGTTAATGGACAAGGAAACTAGTATTACAAATGATACAGTAAACACATTCGAACGTTTTCTAATTTGGTAAATTTAGCTGAATTCATTTGATTTTGAAATTTATAAATTAAACAAAAACTTGTTTTGGCATTTTATGTATTAATCTCGATCGTTCGACAGTTTCAATCAATTTGTGTGCAGTTTTTCAATAGTTCGTATAAACATATATAAGGCTTCGTATAATCATATATAAGGCAATCTGTGATAGCCAGATTGGTATAGGACGTTGGACTTGTGTTCGTGAGAACGGGATTTCGAATCTCGCCAGCCGAAGAAAACCCGTGTATTAAACGGTGACTGGTGCACGTTAAATCAGTCGAGGTCACAAAATCCTCCAAATTCCCATAAAAAATCAATACCTCTGTGGGTATTGAATTGGAGATTGATTGTTCTCCAGTTTAGGTCAAAATTGTGATCTGTGGATGAGTGAATGGATGGGTCTGCCCTGTAAAATGGGATTATCTCCCTTAAATTCGCTTGGATTCCTAAGCAGGCCTGCGTGCATATTTAAGTAACAATAGAAACAGCAGCAACTTTCAATTATTAGTAATTAAGTTTGTGATGAATAATAATTTAAGTAATAGTCATAATATCTATCTGAGTAATATTTTTCATTACATAATTATAAATATTTGTCTAAATAATTAGTTCCAGTTTCCGAATCTGTTCTGACACAGTTCCAGTTTCTGAATCTGTTCTGACACAGTTCCAGTTTCCGAATCTGTTCTGACACAGTTCCAGTTTCTCAGTCTCTCCTGAGACATTTCGAGTTTCGGAGACTGGTCTGAGATATTACTAGTTTTCGAGTTTCTTCTTAGACATTTCCAGTTTCTGAATCTCTAAGACATTTCCAGTTTCTGAGTTTTTCCTCAAATAATCAGTTTATGAGTTTCTTCTGTGACACTTCCAGTTTCTGAGCCTCTACCGAGACATTTCCAGTTTTCGAGATTCTATTGAGACACTTCCAGTTTCTGAATCTCTTCGGTGACATTTCCAGTTTCTGTTCCCTTCTGAGCCATTTCCAGTTTCGCAGTTTCTTCTGAGACAATACCAGTTTATAAGGCATTTCCAGTTTCTGAGACATTTCTAGTTTCTGAGCCACTACTGAGAGATGTTTCCAGATTCCGAGACTCTATTGAGACATTTTCAGTTTCTTAATCTCTTCTGTGACATTTTAAGTTTCTTAGTCTTCTTCTGAGACAATACCAGTTTCTGAGCTTCTGACGCATTTTCAGTTTCTGAGATATTTCCAGTTTCTGAGTCTCTACAGAAACATTTCCAGTTTCTGGATCTCTTCTGGTACATTTCCAATTGAAATTACATTAAAGATAATGATAATAATAATTTTTAAAAAAATCTCTGCCAATCTGCTACCATAACACTAATTATAGACTTCTTATATTTTTTATTTTTATTTGTTAAGAAACTGATCCGGTTATTCATTGATTTACTGATTTACCAATACTTTGATTTACTGATTAAATTAGCGTTAAATTAAATTCTAATTCTCATCAAATACAAATTCTCATAAATTAAATACAAATTCTCATAAATTAAATACTAATTCTCATATTGAACGGTAACCGATTTAATGGTTTGCCCAATTATTATTTTGTTCGTTCGATTATTAACTTACTTTCCTTTCCTCGTTTTATTCACTCGCTATATCAATAATTATTCATGGAAATAACTCATTTCGGCAGAAACGTGTTGATAATAATAATTATTATTATAAAATAAAATAAAAACTGAATAACAATTGCTCAGGATCATATTCTTTTCCCCCAGGTTAACATAAGTTTATAAACATTTAATAATAATAAATATGGTCGTTTTTTTTTTCTTCAAAAAAAAATCCAGACTAGTTTCTGCTTTTAACAGGGTCAGTCGATGCCTACTACCTCCTGCTATAATAACGTAATTTACAGACGCTCTAAAATTGAGTTTTCCTATGAAACAGAAAATTCAATAGTTAAATTTTTAAACTATTTTTTGGCGATTGCTTAAAACGATAAAATATCATTATTTAAAACAAATTGTTTGATACGTTTGCAATGGCACCTTTGTTGCGTCATTTTGTAACAAGAAATCCCTCTTTGTTTTTTTTCATTGTTACTCTAAACATATTAAATCATTTTGACAGGAAAGCACTTAACATCAGTATTTCGATTGCAAGAACCGGATTGTCTGTTATTCCTGAATGATTTCAAAATGGCTACCGTGTCACACTTCATTGTGCTGTCTG